GATCTGACTTTAAATTGAAGTGAATTTCATCTCATAATATATCATAATTATATATTTCATCTCATGTTTATGTACATCATAATGACATATTTCATCTCATGTCTATGTACATCTGATAATGATGATATATTTCAGATAATGATTATATTTCGATCATCTCATGTTTGTTGTAATATAGAAGTTTATTCTCATAATTGCCATTATCATATATAAATATACTTCTCTAAAATAACATGTCATTGTTTAGTTGTTTGTTTGTTTATTTGTTGATTGCATCTTAGCATATGATATTTGTGAGTACACCTAAAGATGGCAGGTCATGAGTGCGATGTTGCTCACTTTTGTTTAATTTCAGTTGAAATAGATTTAAATTATAGAGGTTGCCATCTGGTTCTGCAGTTCATGCAAAGGTCATGAACTTTTAATTATGTCTAGATCATCTAATCACTTCAGCTACTGCAGCCAAGCACTAAACATGTACTATTTTTAGCTAATGCTCTCTGTATTAATTAAGACAAAGTATAACAGAGAAAAATATAAAAATAATAGTAAAAACATGGAGGAGTTTCAACCCAGTAACAAACTTACATCTGAAACTATGAGGACACTTGAAGCGAATGGATTCGACTCTATTGAGGCACTCCTTACACTGCAAGTGCCTCAAGATTTACAGGCAATGAAACTAAAGCCTTTAGGGCAATTCCGCCTCCTAGAAAAGGGACTTAAAGCTCTTAAAGGAGACATAGATGGCCCTGGGATATCACCAGACGGTGCCCCTCAGGGGGAGGAGTACCAAGCTACCCATAAGGAGAATGAGGCTGGTCTGTCAGCTGACCAAATGCTGAAACAACTTGGGATAAGTCCCCAGGCCAGTGGAGTGGAACCAAAAAGGAAAGGTGAGCACCTTAAAATTGTGGATTTTATCTCGAGTGCTCTGTCTATCAAGGAGGATTACTCAGAGGAAGTGATGGCTATAGCGGGGAGCTCTAGCCTGATTCTCAAGTCCTCTGCTAAACGCCCCACCCTCACCAGTGTCACCATCCCACAATGGAACCAGGCAAGTTTGGCGATATTGTTACATATGCAAGAGCATTCTCCCCAAGTAGATGTACATTCCTATCTCCAACACCATATAAAGATAATGGAATTTTGTGAAAAGTTTGATTGGATAAGTATTTTAATATATGATGAGGAATACAGGAGGCGCCAGTATATACAAGGCTTCCAATGGGGTAGCGAAATAGCCCACCTCAGCACAACTCACCTGAGGCTAAAACCACCAAATATGAAATCAACTCAAGCAAGGAATAAACAGACTGCAAAACAGCCGGATATACAAATATGCAGGAATTTTAACAAAGGAGAATGCAAGTATGGAACTACTTGCAGGTACCGTCACGTTTGTCTAGAGGCAGGTTGTACTGAGTCTCATTCTGCCTTAACCCATCAAAAAAACTAACAGTCGCTGCAGTAGCACCTATAGCCCCTTCACCTCTAGGAAATTGTTTGGATAAATGGACTTATGAATTAGCTAATGACCCAGATAAGGACTTTCTTCTAAATGGAATTTCAAGTGGTTTTAAAATCATTGACTCAAATAGCAATCCTGTTCAAGTAGAGACTAATAACTATAGATCAGCACTTGATTTTCCGGCTCATTTTAAAGTGGAATCTCAGATTGTTAAGGAACTTCAAGAGCAAAGATATGAAAAAGTATCCCATAAACCAATAATAACTAGTGCACTGGGGGCAATACCAAAAAAGAACTCTGACAAGATTAGGCTGATTCATGATTGTTCTATGCCGCATGGAAATGGATTAAATGACTATGCTACAAAAAACAGTTTTAAGTATCAATCTCTATCGGAAGTTACTGCTTTAGTTAAGCATGGATACTTTTTATGTAAGGTGGACCTATCAGAAGCGTATAGATCAGTGCCGATATCTCCCAGTGATTATCTGTATACTGGCCTTAAGTGGAAATTTCGAGGTGACAATTCATATACATATATGATAGACAAGAGACTCATGTTTGGAGCACGGAAAGCTCCAGAAATATTCCACAGACTTACGCAATCTGTTAAGCGTATGATGATCAACAGAGGATTTCAAAACATTGTTGTTTATCTCGACGATTTCTGCCTAGTTTACCCTACATATAAGGAGTGTCAAGAAGCAAGGGACACATTGATTGGATTGATCAGGTCCCTTGGTCTGAGCATAAACTGGTCAAAAGTGGAAGGACCTACACAGGTTCTAACTTTCTTAGGCATAAACATTGATACTATAAAAATGCAACTGACATTGCCAGAGGAAAATCTAAATAGCTTGAAAGCATTACTCATCGAATTTTCAAGCAAAAAACGCGCCGCTAGATCCCAGCTTGAATCATTGGCTGGTAAACTTCATTGGGCAACCCAGGTCGTCAAAGGGGGTAGGCATTTCCTCCAACGGATCCTGGATACCATACGATCACTCAAACGCAGCAAACACAAATACATGCTAGGGACTCAATTCTATAAGGACATAGACTGGTGGATTAAGTACATAGACACATTCCATGGAAAATCTTTAATAATGGACAACAATCCAGTTGTGACTGTCGAGCTGGATGCTTGCAATACTGGAGCAGGATTATACTATGATGGAGATTGGGCATATATAAATTTCCATCGTGATACCCCTTCTCTTAAGGATTACCATATCAATTATAAGGAGATACTCTCTGCATACTTCTCTGTATTGAGATGGGGGCACACATGGTCAAATAAGAAGGTTCAACTTGCAACCGATTCTTCTGTTGCAATGGCAGTGATCAACTATGGGAGGTCTCGACATCCTGTTATTATGGATATACTAAGACATATGTTCTGGATATCAGTGACTTACAACTTTGATCTAAGAGCACACCATGTCAAGGGACTAAATAATGTGATGGCAGATACAATCTCCAGACTTCATGAACCCCATGCCCTCCTATCCTTGGAAGCCTTGTTATACCCTGGCCGCTTCCCTTATTCAGGAATGTCTGTTATGGACTTAATACCACACATGAGTTTTAATTCTCTGTTTTCCATTCTGCCGCAGGTCCGCAACTGGCTGAGCTGGAAGAAGAATTGGATAACACAATCGCTACGCTACGCATGAATTGCTACACCCCCTCTACCAGATCAACATATGCAGCCCAGCTCCAAAAATATCTTGTATTTTGTAACAATATGGGTTACAACCCAGTACCAGTTAATCAATTACACCTGGAACGCTATGTTGCTTCATTAGCTGGGGTCATTACTCCAGCATCAGTGAAACTGTATCTTAATGTTGTCAGGCTACTCCACTTGGAAAGTGGTTATGCAAACCCATTAAATAACAATTATAGGCTGGACACCATCATTTTGGGTCTCACAAAGACCCTAGGCAGGAAACCAATTAGGAAATCTGCTATTACTCCAACTCATTTGCTGGACATTAGGAAGCAACTAAATATGGATGATCCCCTTCATGTGGTTTTCTGGGGTGTCTGTTTAGTTGCTTTCTATGGCCTGTTTAGGAGATCTAATGTGTTACCTTCAGAGTTTGACAAGAGCAAACATTTGTGCAGGAGAGATGTAACATTTTTTCCCTGGGGGGTCTTACTTAATGTGAAATGGTCAAAGACTATTCAGTCTGGAGAGAGAATCTTGCAAGTGCCGCTTACTGAGATCAAAGGCCACCCCCTTTGCCCAGTATCTGCACTACTATCTGCCCTTGCTATTACTTTCCCCTCCAGCCCAGACTACCCCCTCTTTACGTTGCCCAGAGGTAAACCTTTTCCCCCCTCCCTGTTTTCATCTCTCCTGGGCACTTGCTTAGCTAAGGCAGGTTATGACCGTACTTGTTTTTCACCTCATTCCTTTAGGAGGGGAGGCGCATCTTGGGCTCTACAAAGAGGCCTTCCACCTAATGTCATCCAGATTCTAGGTGACTGGAAGTCAGACGCATATAAGGTTTATCTTGAATTACCTGTAGCTTCAAAAGTAGAGATGGCAAAATCTTTTTCAACTAACCTACCTTCTACTACTTCTACTTAACATCAAGTTTGGGTTCGGAGGTCATAATATTATATGCTATTATGTAACTACTTTAATGCAATGTACTGTTATGTATTTTCTATTGTATTATTACGTAACATCTATTAATTAACGCATTATAATATTATGTAACTTCTATTGTAGTTTATTGTTTTAGTTTAGTTAGGTACAATAAACTATTTGACCAACTACTTGTAGTTTTTTGCGTCTATTTTTCGTATTTGGCATTATTGGGAATTTAAGTTTAATTTCAGTTGAAATAGATTTAAATTATAGAGGTTGCCATCTGGTTCTGCAGTTCATGCAAAGGTCATGAACTTTTAATTATGTCTAGATCATCTAATCACTTCAGCTACTGCAGCCAAGCACTAAACATGTACTATTTTTAGCTAATGCTCCCTCCCACCCTCCCCTTAATTGAATTAGGGTGTACTGGACTGGGAGGTCATAATATTATATGCTATTATGTAACTACTTTAATGCAATGTACTGTTATGTATTTTCTATTGTATTATTACGTAACATCTATTAATTAACGCATTATAATATTATGTAACTTCTATTGTAGTTTATTGTTTTAGTTTAGTTAGGTACAATAAACTATTTGACCAACTACTTGTAGTTTTTTGCGTCTATTTTTCGTATTTGGCATTATTGGGAATTTAAATCTCATTTAAAAGATGGCTGTAAAATCATTTTGATTTTTTGTGCATTACGCTCGTAGATAAAAACTTCAAAATATTCATACGTTAGAAACATTACATCCCATGAATTAAAAATAAATTGAATTGACACAAGCTAAAAGTGTTTCATTCCCACACAACATTAAGTAATCAGTTAAGAAAAGGGCATTTGATTTATAAGAGAAACAGCGGTGTTTCATCACGTTTATTAAAGAAGCAAGTTTCAAATTGGCTAACGTGAAGTATCATGGGCTCTACAAGATCAATTGTGGCACATCAGGCCCGTATCCAGGGGAGGAGCGGTCTCATTAAAAGTCCCCTCCCCCTTGGTAACGGGCCAGTACATTGCATATTTAGGAGTATTTCTTTTAATTAGAACGTTACATTCTGATTCCCGGGTTGCTTAGTTGTTCCTCGGATTCATAGGTTGTTCATCCCATTGGTTGCAATGTTCATTCTTGTCGTCTACGACTCCACGTTTCAAGCCAAACACAAAATATCCAGCACCTGCCCCGAGTGTCACGACAATACACAACCACACGTTGTACGTCATGAATATCAACATGAGGAAATAGCTAAGAGTAATTTGGATAATGTGCAGTAATGTCTGTAATATGTGGTCTAAACTGAACAGCGTTGGCCTAAAAATATACATTAACTGTTTTGAATTTCCTCACAATCATAAGACCATAGGCAATTTACTGAATTTCGAATTTGAAGCATCCAAATTAGCGCACATTGGTTTTACTTCGACATGACAGAGAGACAAACACGATTCACACCTTGACTATGTCACCACTTATGTCACCACCACAAGTTGTTAAAGTCTCCAACTTTTTTGTGAACGGTGTTCGGCGGTCGGCGCCTGTAACAATGGGGGGCACGCGGTAGTGACATTTTGCATGTTAATGCCTTGTGCAACATTTTGTTTTCAAACGGGCCTTTTATATCATAACTAAGGTCTTTATTACAAGGAAAATGTCTTTGTAAGGAGAAAATACGTATCTCTTGAACAAGTTAAACCGACAGAAACAGGCTCAATGTTGGTTAGAGGGGGATTTCAAGTTGTCAAACTTTTGATGTGCAGGGCACTTACTGCTGCAAGGAGCGGGTGGCATTTCTTGTACTGCGCTCTGCTCTCTTTTTCGGATGTGAGTTGGTCCCATTGCGCAGCAGATATTTGCGTAACGCTTTCAGACCCTCATATAAGACAGCGAGGAAAAATATTCCAATACTAGAACCAATCAAATCTGAAATACAAAAGATTATTAAAGATTATCTATACCCCCAGATCCAACCGTTCTTTCCAGTCATACAGAGAATTCGTAACGGGCTAAATCTGACTGTGGTCGGGCAAAATGTCTAATGAATAATTAGCTACTTCCTTCACAGTTTTCAATACTACTACGTGCATACTATGCACACAGTTTGATACCCTGACAAACTGCGCGCATATTTCCAAATGGCAGGCGGGGAGAATCACGGGTGTTAAAACACGAATATACCATGAGCACATGCTTTGAGGATCCGCGTTGTTTGAACCTACCGCCGAGCACACTTATACATTAAAGAAATACAGAAATACAAGGTTAGTTGTACGTCCATCTCATTCGCAGTTCGTCCATCTCATTCGCAGTTCGTTCAGTATGCACCATGTCGGTGTGCGTACGTACTGTAATTGATATCCGATTGCACAACGTCGTTAACGCGTTATTAGTAGGGTCGAAGTACGGCAATTGCGTTCGTGATCTAGTAGGTCATCTTCTCGGGATCGCCTCATTATACCGACGCGTATTATACCGAAACCCATTATACCGACGTGCATCGTGCCGAAAACCAATATAGGCCTACCGATGCGCGTTGTACCGAAATTCGTGTATCCGTGCCATTGGGACGGCACATTGCCAAGGAATTTCAAGATTTTGTCAGTTTATGTTAGACATAAAAAGTTGCAGTCCTCATACTCAGATACTCGCGCGTTTTTCAACTGATTTTCATTTGAAACTCGTAAGAACGGTGCTTTGAATCTAGCTCTATACTCTTTCAAAACGTCATGTAGAGTATACTATCTAGATGTATTTAATAGTATCTAGATTTCTCGTTCATTCATTTGACCAATAAAAATCATAACTGCCTGGAAAGTAATACGAATAAAGTATGTAAATAAATGAATTAAAACGTCAAATCAAGAAGCAAAAGTCTTTTCTGGGTCACTGCGAATGGCATGATTTCCTCGAGTCTCTTCAGTTGCAAGGCAACCATACTGGGACCGATTCGCGTCGTTCCACTACTGCCCTTGGTGGGGGCCCGCTACCATACTATATGACTCCCGGAGTTTACTAAAGCACGTTAGTGGAGGAACCAACCACAGTCTCACAATCTGTCTCCGGCAAGAGCGGCCAGAGAACCAACCCATGCCAAGGGCCGGTAAACGGTTGGACCTTCGGACCGGGTGTCCGTAGTGACAATGATCAACAACTCCGTACCTGGGGCTCGAACGCGGGACCTCCGTATCCCACGACGTTCAACCGCAAAGTAGCCTCAGTCTACGCCACTAGGCTACCCTGCTTAGGTGTCAAAGCTGCTAAAAAATAATGTAGTTGTTACAATTATTTGCTTGGATAAACATGATATTACATTTCTTAATTGATTAATCTGATTTAGTTGGAATCGAAGTTCGACCAACGATCAAGGAAATGCAATCAACAACTCTTGCAAATGTGAACGGGAGTCGTAAAGACAGAAAGTACAAGAATCGTGATCAATGTAAAGTATAATATTTAAGACACATCTTTGAATATCGATAGGAGAAACATTCCAAAGTGAAGAAGAATCATGATTTGTTGCCAATATATCAATTGCGTCTCAAATGAATGAAATAAAAGGTATCGCGGACTAAAGCCGATGAGTGAAAACAATTATAATTGACGCATCTAGATCGCTCAATACATGTATAACGGTAAGTGAGTAGATTTGTGTAGATACGTCGAGGAAAATAAGCTATTTCGACGCTTGAAATAATATGATTACGCTTATTAATAATTACGCGTGGCTATTTAACACAAGTGTTGTGTAGAACAAAAACAAGAAAACTGAACGACTTATTAAGGAACTGTACTTCAGTTTCAAAGTGTTCAAGATAGTTCCGCATGTTCAAAAACACAAAATTTATATTTTAGGCTATATTTTGTCAGCATCTTCAATTCATATTTCAGGGAAAACATAATCATGTTTCCGAAAGGAATTTACACTCGCACTCGCTACTCAAAATGAGGCACGGACACAAGTACAGAGAATAGCCTAGTGAAGGCATCTTATTATCTAACAGTGGCTATTCCATATAGCTTTGAAATGTCGTTCAGGTCGCGTTTTAATGAGATTTTAAGAGATCTGCATTTTCTTCTATTTGAATTCTGTGTGTAATTTTCTATCAAAACAACTTAGTTTTTGCACTGTTATTTACCTTTATTCAAATTCTAGAGATTTTCAAGTTTTCTAAAAATGGTCGGGCTAAATCCCCATTGACACAATGTTGAAAAACCTTCAAAAGTTAATTTACTCTTTCAAAGATCACAATTTTAATGTGAAATCACAATCCATATGTCAATAATATAATATATTTACATTCCAATGGTGTTTTAAATTGATTCGAATTGGAATTAGTTGTTAAATCAAGAAATTAAGTGACTCGGTCATGTTATATAGCCCCACCTTTGCCCATGATGCCATCTATTTTTCCATTTATATGGAAAGGGTCAATTCTACAGAATCAGACTTTTTGGGGAATGCATTGAGCGGGGACGCACCACATCCTCTCAGGGTGTATCATTGACATTCTAAGGTTTAATTCTCTATTTTGTTCTGGTAAATATCATTATGATACATAAAATCGCAAAAATAACTTTCCAATGGTGTGCTCAAGTTAACGCGTGGCTAACCATGCTTTACCACGATGAATAAATGCACGTAAACCTTTGGTTTGTAAAATCGTGTTTTTAAAGTAGAATACGTAATGCTTGATTTCTTGGTAATTAGACGGACCAATTTCAGTTTTGTATTTAACGAATTTTTTTTATTACCATACCCCTCATAGTAGGACTTGAATCATGACAATATACGCATGGAACATCGTTAATTCCAAGCAGAAATGAATGTGACATAATTCGTATTTCGTAGAACTCCTAAAACTGGAAGCATTTTATTAATCCTGGGGGCCCCTCCTGAGGAAGGTAACAGTTAATGCATGTTCCACTAATGAAAACCTTTGTTTCTTCTATAATCATTTTACAGATCAACAGAAACTGAAAACATGAACAATGAATGGGACGGATGTTCATATTTGGCTATTGCACATCATAATGTGCATATATACAGGGTGTCCCGAAAGTATGCCCCCCCCCCTAGGTGGACATATACCAGTGTCGTGATAGTATGTGTCATATATCATTTTAAAGCTTATCCAAAGTTACATTGATTCGCCAAGTATCATGGTTCAACTCTCAAATATTAAAAAATTACAGGCATTTAAAAATTTTGTGTTTGGTCAAAATTAAGTTCAATTTTACACCAAATCACAAGTCAATGTGTCCTCCCGGGCCATCTTTACAGCAGCAATTTTTTTCGGGTCGGAGAGATATTGAGTTGGAAAAAGAGAACGGTGAGGGTAGAAACTCTAAGGAAACTCTTCTAAAGTCCCTGAACTGGTTTTAAGAGGGTTATAAAATTCCAAACCCCTTTTTGAAGGGCTTTTAAGGTCATATCTGAAAATAATTACTTCTGTTAACATGGCCAAAGGGGGACAATTGAACTTTATTTTGACAAAACACTAACTTTTAAAATGGCTGTAACTTTTTCCCATTTGGGAGTTAAACCATGATACACGGCAAATCAATGTAACTTTGGATAAGCTTTAAAATGATATATGACACATACTATGAGGACACTGGAATATGTCTGCCTAGGGGGGCCCCATACTTTCGGGACACCCTGTATGTGGAATTGATCACTTTTCATTCATCTCAATTATAGGCTCGAAACAGCACTGTTTCTTTACTCTAATTCAAATCTGTTTGTAAAAATAAAATTTTCCGTATTCCTGTTATTTGATAACCGAGCTGGCTTATAATTCCTTTAAGTTATGATGTACTACAAACAAATGTTTTGTTAGGACATTTCCAAAGAGATAGCTTTTTCTATACCACTACAACAAGAAGTGGTGACACACTTTGAAGAAAGTAATATCTTGGGTCTAAATATAATGCCTTGTTATTGAGGAAGCTACCAACTTCTATTTTCCTCATTTAGTGTAAAACTGAACTTCCTGGATATGTGTTTTTTTGTTTTCTCGATTTAAACGTATGTTGCGGATTATCATTTGGCACAACGTTAGAAAATATAGTCTAGCTTTTAGAAATGCTCTCGGTTTGGAATTTGATTTTCCAATAAAGCTGTAATTTGTGCATTTAGACCATCGCTTTTGTTACATTGACGTAAGTCGTCAAGGTAACATACATTGGTAATATAACGGGCTTTCGTCGATGTAATAAAAGCGAGGGGCTTAGTCTATGAATTACAGCTTCATTTACAAAACAAATTTCAAATTGAAGAAACTTATTAAAACTATGCTATATTTTCGAACTTTTGGCCAAATCATAATCTGCAACTTGACTTATTAGTAGGTTTAAATCGAGAAAGCGAATATTCGTAACCAGGAAGTTATCCATTTTGTTACATTGACGTTCCGTCAAAGTAACTAGTTGTAAAACAGTGATTATGGCATTCGGTCACGCATTTCGGTACAATGCGCGTAGGTATAATGGGTTTCGTACGTCGGTATAATGGGTTTCGGTATTATGCGCGGAACCCACCTTCTCGAAGTACGTTGTCACACGATGTAATTACAGAATGTCATCGAACTTTAAAATGATCAAAATTCTAAATCATCTTCGTCCCGCCCGGACACGTCCATGGACTTCGTAAATAGATCGTATAAAGTCATATGGTTGTAGCAACGTTCATTCCGTTCGCACACAGCTTAAAACCAGTTCAGCAACGTTTTGAAGAACGCAGTGACACTAAGATGGGATGGCTAGTTTTGCTAACTCGTCCATAAGCAGTCTGTAATACGTCCTTAATCGCTTTAAACCCGTTCTCGTTCTCAATACGTTCCAATATGTTATCGGATTATTGACCCAATTTCCAAACAGTAAAGACGCCCCTAGTGAGTCCGACAGTTACTGTACGTTCGAAGTACCTCCAACTCGTCTAAGTTCGTTGTCACTTGGACTCGGAACTTGACGACCACAAATAAAATGGAGCATGATCTAAGTTTCGGAAGACATACCCAGCGAATTCGAAGTCAAACGAATCCAAATAATGAAAACTAGTTGCCTTATTTGTTTATTTATTTATTCATTCATTTATTTATGATTTTATTTATTTATCTATTACAAAATAAATAAGTACATAACAAGCTACATGCCATATTAGCCTATAAAAGTTATTTTGGCCCCAAGACAATTTAAAAATTCCAAATATATTTTTGATGAGCACAAATTTAACCCTCTCCAGTCCCCATGTCCGGAAGTTACCATAGCAACCTACCACCTAAAGTTGTTATCTTCCAAAATGAGAACAAAACTGTTTCTTCGTGACCAATGTGGAAGTTCATCTAGAAAGAGAAAATTTATTTTCAATAAATCAGCCCAAATGTAATATTCTCAAAGTTGATAGTTAATATTGGATATTCTCTAAATATTCTTCTTTCCAAGAATTTGATGTCAATGCAGCGTCCCTTATAAGGATCCTTATGGATCCCTTTTTACCCATCATTAAGAATTTTACTTGGTCATCATGTTCAGCATACAACAGTGTCATGACATATATATATAAGGGTTATGTACTGGGAGGTTTTGGATATGGGGTTTATCCAGAGGGAGATATGCATATCTACCTGAGGGACGGTAGGGACCGAAGGTAGATGTGCATATTTCACGAGGGATGAACCCAATATCCAAACCGACCGTACATAACTGCTTTATCCTATACCAAGTAGAGTTTTCAGGGGCATATGGCCATTCCAATAGTACAAGGTGTAAAAATAAACAAAAAAGCACCGGAAGCGGGAAGATATGCACCGAAGCGGGAGATATGGCGGGAGATATGGAGGTTCTGGATATGGAACCTCAAAATCAGGATAAGGGATATATCTTACCAACTTATCTCCCTAAAACTCTACTTGGCATAGGATAATGGCCTTTATCCCATACTTGGACGTGTTACGGGTACATAAAGCCGGTTTGTAAAAACTTATATTTTCATCAGCGGGCAGATATAGCTTTACGTCCCGCTCCGAGAGGGCAGATATAGTATATCTGCCCGCTACGTCATAATCGCTGTTCCCGTATTGGTTCTTTTTTTGTACCGTTCGCATATTGAATTTGTCGTTTACGACAATGGAGAAAAACGCAGACAATCTCGACCTGTTTGATGCTTTAAAGAAGGGAAGGAGCAGTATACCCCGTTAATAATCAACGATTTGATCAGGAAAAGAAACAAAACTGGATATGAATATTTTAAAATAATTCCACGATTGGTTGCAAAGTTTCTGAACTTTGGCCAATTGAACAATGTGATTGGTATGGGATAAACAGATCATCCTATAGTCGGTTCAGGATATTGGGATTATCCCTTGGCCAATATAAATTATCTACCCTCGGGACCTACGGCCCTCGGGCAGATATATTATATTGGCCTCGGGATAATCCCAATATCCTGAACCTCATATAGGATAATCTCTATACAGGGTGTCAAATAAGTCCCGTCCCCCCTGCTACAGCTAAAACCTTAACAGAAGGTACCTAGTGTGATATACCATTGGAAAGATCATCCAAAGTTATGTTAACTCACCAACTCTCAAGTATTTTGGATGAAATTTACCTATATTTTTATGATGTCTTTTGAAATTAACGTGCCCTCCTTTAAGTAGCTTTTTTGCGTCAAAATGACAAGGATATGACCTCAGAAATACATCAAAAAGTTAATCCTTTTCACATTCCACTTGTTACAAAAAGGTTTTCACCACTTTCCTTGCGCCTCTATTTTCTACACATCTAACCCTATCCAGAAATAGGTTAAATTCATCGCCATGAACATATTTAGTCATATTTTGGTCCCATGACCTTTCTTATACAGGATTCTCAAAATCATGCCAAATACGCCAAATTGCCATGTTTCTAGGCATATGGTCACCTCAATTGATACAATGTAAAAATTTCTGAGATTGATTGACATGTGTCAGGTATATGCCAATCAACGTAACTTTGGAAGACCTTTCCAATGATATATCACACTTGGTACCAAAAATCTTGGTTTTGGCTGTAGAGGGGGGGACGGGACTTATTTGACACCCTGTATATTAAGACAGCATATAAATTTCGTGATATCACACTTTTGAAAAATGAGTTTGAGAATAAAGATTTTGCCGAGAGGAAAGTTTAATCATAAATTTTAAAAGAAAATCATCAATTTATGGTTCCACTTCGCCAACCTCTTTTGAAATACGAATGAACCAGGATGCGTCAATATCCCAAGTAACTGGCATGACTGACATTCTATGTTTATGGGATAAAGTAAGTTTTTGACATATGTAAAAAAAAATATACGCCTAACTAGGAATGGTACGAGCCAAAAAATGTTTTTAAATTGAGGCAAATGGTAGTCTAGTTACAGGCCCTCGTGAGCCCCCTCCCCCACTTACACATATACCTGTTGTGAAGTATATAAAGGGGGCGGGGGGTCATCAAAAGGCGCCGTTGCTCTTTCAATTCACCAAGCATATATATTTTATAGTGATTCTTAGTCTGGCAAAACTTATCATGTACAACGTTAGTGTTTCATACTTTAGAACATCAGACGTGTTGGTGTCTACAACTGTTATAAGTGTTATGCTTTATTCAAATAACCAGATGTGATGGCGAAATAAACTAAAAAAAAGTAAAAATGGTGAGATTATCATACGCAAATGGAGTTAATATCTTAGTGAACCAACCTCCTTTGTTTACATTCGTGAAAAAGTGAACTACTGACAAAATACAATACCCATTACAGTATTACATCTTCCGAACATAGGCCTCCAGAACTCGTACCTCCTTTTTCCTAGATGAAGGAAAGCCATCTGTGAATGTCCCATGAATAAAGGAAGGGGCGTCTAAACGCCCCCCCCCCCATCCGATTAATAATAGTGATAATTGATATCTTGACAAGTAATATCAAGATAGGTTCAGTTAAGTCCAATAACGCGAACAATTATGACAATTTATAATTACACTTTTAATTCAAAAAATGCAATAGCATAGAATAAAATGACTTCAATCAATTTTGCGGAACAAATCTTTGGCAAAATCATTAACTTTACAAAAGAATAATGAGTAATTAACATATTTGAATATTGATGTACAATACATACCGCCATCTCCATATTGCTATTAACGAGCAACCCAAGTCTGATAGAAATGCGGAACTGACGAGGAATGTGTCCTTTACAATGAGGTCCCAAAAATCATTGTAGTTGCGTGTCAACAACTAAACATGTGATTCACCGCCGATCAACTTATTTTCTGCTCTTCTTTTTCCATTGATCTCCTGTTGAATTCAGGTGATTAATTGTTTCAGGATCAGCAATTCAAGTTATTTATACCGAAATAAAGTAAAAATAGTTTGACTTAACTTTGTCACTAATGGTTTATATACAGAATATCACATCATTTTGAGTGATATCATTTTTATCGCCGAGTTGATAGCAAATATCAACACGAGTGAGCGAAGCGAATGAGTGTTGATATTTGATATCTACGAGGCGATAAAATGATATCACGAGAAATTATGTGATATTGGGTTTATCCCATGATTACAATCACCTTATGACATGTATGATGTTCTGATCCAATTTCCAGGACATTGGCAGACAATATAAACTAGAAATTAGAATATCAATTGAATATTTGAAACACTTTATTTTAACAATTAAAAGTAAATAACATGATATAGTTCGTCATAAATACCATTTTTTAATCGTTAGTTAGCAGCCTTCTAATCAAATTATATACACAATCGTAATTCAATACACCAATGAAACTTACAGAGAATAATTTAACGGACCTATTTTCTCAAAAGAGAATAAATTATCTGACCTAATTTCCAACAATATTGTGGCGCGAAATGCAAATGTGATATCACACGGATATGCGTGAGATAAACGATATCACACGCATATGAGTTTGATAAACGATTTTCTGGAAAATATCACACGGATTTCAATAATATCAGAAATATCAATAGCTGTTATTGTACAGATAACACATTAATCGTGCTCACTCGTGTTGATATTTGCTATCAACTCGGCGATAAAAATGATATCGCTCAAAATGATGTGATATTCTGTATTTATCCCACTTCGCTCACTCGTGTTGATATTTGATATCAACTCGGCGATAAAAATGATATCACTGAAAATGATGTGATATTCTGTATTTATTGTATGATCTGTAAAATGAAGCCCTCTAATTGGTCAGTTCTTGTGCTATACCAATCTGTATTGCTACTGAGATTGTCCACCATTGATCATCTCCGTAGCAACACAGGAATCCTTGTGAATATCTCTAAATTAAAATGTATTGGACTTAAGATCACACGATTAAAACATTATAGAATGATTTGAAGTACAATGCAGGATATATTCTGCTCTCGATATTGTGTATCAGCACTTGACTTCATCTTGTTCCAATACAGAATTTCTTTAGCAGAAAATATCCTGTATTGCACTTCAAATCATTCAATAACTTATATTACAGTGCAAAAAAACATTATTTCTTAATCTTATTTAATCTATAACCTATAATATTTATAGTGTCAATTTTTAAAGGTTTTACGTCATGTTGAAGAACCCATTTTGGACTTCATGGTGTTGCAACACAAGTGGGAACACCTAAAAGTAAAACCTTATGAATGGCAGAACCCCTCTATTCAATACTTTGAGACAGACGGTTCTTTATTTAGTTTTACTTTAGCTTAAAAAATCCTCAACTAGTAAAGCAGTAAAAGTTTTGATATGCTGTCTATTGTCTGTTGATTGTTTAGAGTTATCAAAAATAAGAATTCTATTAGTCCTTTTATAGTCTGTTATTGTTGTGTGTGCCACCACACTATGTACACCATTAACAAAATAACCTGCATGTCAAGTAACTCTGAATATTGGACTACTCCGATCTGACAAGTTTAATTGATGTACAGCATACCGTTCTTAGTGAAGTACAAAATCAATGTAACATGACAAGAGTTTAGAGCGTTGATCTTTTACACAAATATTTATTTCCACTGTTATTAGTAAACATATATAACCCTCATTAAACATATATAATCCTCATTAAACATATATAATCCTCATTATACAATATTTATCGAGCATTAGGTCAATATCTGTTATTCTCATTGTAAGTAACATTAAAATATTTTTAATTCAAAACTAGAATATAGAACTTCATCCAAGTCCATAATGATATGTAACTTAAGGACAGACCACCGGACGGACCAACGGACGGACGGACGCCTGGTCGATTTCATAGGCTCACTGTGTGATCCAAAAATCAAGAGACCCAGACATAAATGTTCTTTTTTAAAATAAAGCTTGAAAAATCTTTTGTTGACTAGTAAGCAGTACAAGTCAATGTCCAAGTCTATTAAAATAAATTTCATATCATTATGTATTAAAAATATTTTAGGGTTATTAGCGATGGTAATTATAGCTATTACCCCTTTAACAAATAGTCTGTTATTGATGTGTGTGTCACCACACTATGTACACCATTAACAAATAGTCTGTTATTGGTGTGTGTGTCACCACAATATACACAGCATTAACAATATAAGGCAGTAACAAGCAAAATGGCACAACCTGCCATTTGTTACAGATGCAGGCTGCCGAATGCCAACCACCACTGTCCATAGAAAAAAGTTGGAGACTATAACGATATGTCACCACAAATGGTGGTGAAATAATAAATTGGATATTTTACTATATTCCTTGAGCACCTCTATAATTTTAAAGGACTAGCCAACATGCATTTATTCCTCTGTATATTTCTGACTTCAGAAATGCAATTTTTCAATTTTCTGGCAACATAAGTAGATAATTGAGTCACTAGACTAAAATTACACAACTGTCTAAGGGACATGCAGATAATTACATCTTGGGATAAATCAAGTATTTATGCAGATTCCAATTTTTTTATTTTTTTCCAAACTACTATGAAATTAGTCATTAAACCATGTTCTATTGGCCAATAACAGAAGAATGATACACTTAAATATGCATCATATGAAACAGGCATTATCATCTCTGATGTGCATCTGAACACAAAAATCTCAATCAAGATGTTAATTTGACTTCATTTGCCAGTCAGTCTAGTGGACCTATTTGGTACAATTTTATGAAATCATTTCACCAAGTACGCATAATCAATATTTCTACCAACAATTGTACACATGCATGTTCACATATCGGTATATACAATCAAAATCAGCAGCTTTTTGGAATCATATACTTGAGATATCGCATGTATGGGGTGTGTTTGTTAATAACCTCAATTTCTTTTCGATGGAGTGGAGAGAAATAACCAAGGCAATAAAAAATAATGCCCTCCCCAAAAATGCAATACATCGCAATAAATGTATGTCTGAAGACAATTAATCAGCAAATATACAGTTATCATTGTCTGAATAAGTACATGAATAAATACAGCCAATGTTCTGGCATGGATAAAGTACAGTATAACAAAAAGAAAAAGAAAAAAGAGTGATAGATAAGCCAAGAAGCTGTTAAAGAACAGTATGTATTAATATTGAAAGTTACTGAGGTATAGTTTCATTATTAAAATTGCAAATGACTATCATATTAGAAATACTTTGTAAATGCTGTACCCTGCGTGCAGAGAGTCTAGTTAAACCATAGAGTGAAGACGAAGCACTCTTTTAAGAAGCGAAGTCAAACAATGCAAAGGGTATAACTGCTGAATATCAACTTGTTTGGTGTAAATATAAAGCAAATGGCCGATTTTGAATGTGTTGAAAAGTATGTGGTCCCTCAGCTTCCCTGGGAATTCTACTTTCATTAGTACATGGATAAATAAGTACATTATTGTAGTGAACAGTTGTCCACTTACAGTAAAACTCATTTAGAATGCAATGCTAAAAATTAAACTTAACAACTATAGGAATTTATTTCCTAGATAAATGTTTAAACCAATATGCCTTACCAACCAAATAAACTATATTTTCTTATTAATTTGGTACAATATTGTGATATTGTCCAGGAGCATGAGGGGAGGCATCAACAGATCGAGGTCGGATCGGAAACTAAATAAATCTAGTTAGGGAGAGGGGGTTCAAAGCCATTTCAGTTTGCCATCTGACAAATTTCAACATTTCAATTTTCTGCAATTTTGTCTTGAAATACATTGGAATGGTTTAAAAATAAAGATTTTACCTGATGTTTTCTTCGTCAAGAACATTCCTGGAATTAATACTATTCTATCAATAGACGTTAAAAGCCGCAAAAATTAAAATTTCACTATGATTTAACGAAAATTAGATCAATTTTTGAAATAATTTTTCAAATTCTCAAACCAGAAGTTTGCAATCAACTTTCATGGTATTTAGTTTTTGGGGGAGGCGGTGGGATCAAACTCATACTAGATTCATTTAGTTCTCGATCCGACATCCAACTTTTGATGCTTCCCCTAAATTACATAGGTTGGCCAACTCCTCTACCTCTCTAAAATAGGCACTTCCTTCTAAAATCTTGAAATAGACTTCACTCCACTCACCTACATGTAATCACCTACATTGCGGCAATGCATCAATATATTGAAATGTCCCTTATATATGTTAATAACTGTTTCAAAATCCAACAGATAATCTTACCCATATGCTTCATTCAGTCTATATCTTCTTAAAAGGGTGAACCTGTTGAACAAGGCATCTGGGTAGAAAACCTCCTTTATTTTGACTACATCAACACTGCACAAATCATATCTATGATAGATAATCACAATACCGTTTCATCAGTTGTACTAGAATGCACCGATGAAACTTTTGATATGTATCCCGAAGAACTAAAATGTGATTTCCAAACAATATCTAAAAATACACTTCCGTAATAGAAAAATAAAAGGCCTTGTCATCCATTTAGAGATACCTCTATTGAGGATAATCTTACACTTGCACCAGTAGCTCCATCTATTGTAGAACTGGTCACTATAGCAACAGGAATTTTCAACAATAGAGGGAGTAAGCGTTGCAAGTGTAAAATTATTCCCCCCCTCTCTTCCCCTCCCCCTCTCTTCCTTCTAAAAACATGTATTTTTATATTTTCTTTCTACAGTACTATGGATATATTTGCAAAATGACATCAAAAAACTTCCCATACATTGAATTATTATAAATATTCAACATTTCTAGATGGCGAATAATTAAAATAGTTCATGCCATAAAGATCAGGGGGAAAATCAGCAGATTCCTAGTGTACCTGAATCTACCTACTCTTTCATCCACCATTAATGACAATGTTCATTCATGTCCACTACGACTGCACGTTTCCAGCCAAACACAAAATATCCAGCACCTGCCCCGAGGGCCACGGCAATACACAACCACACGTTATACGTCATGAATATCAACATGAGGAAATAGCTGACAGTGATTTGTATGATGTGAAGTAATGTCTGCACTATGTGGACTAAACTGAACAGCTTTGGCCTGAAAAACACAAAGAAGTATATAATATCTCATTTTCATACAAACAGTAGAACCTGTATATCTGAACACCTGGCTAATCTGAACACCTCCCAATCTGAAGACTTTTTTCGGTCCCATTTTTTCCTCCCATTGTCTCCAATGTTAAAAAAACTTGAAATGTGAACACCTCACAATTTGAACAGTCTTATTTGAACATTTGTTCATAAAATTTCACATGCTTCATTCAAAATTGATCAAATATTATTGTGATATCAAAACTTTGGGAAAAAACTTGAATGGTCTTGATTATAATAGGGCTTTCCAGCATGACTAGATTCATTTGAATCGATTTTTCAAATTGCTGAAATGCCAGAAAGCTATGGGGTCAAATGAACTATAAATATGTATCGAGAATGTGTTCACATTTCTTCAGAATCTGGAATATCATGAATGCAAAAACCTCGAAATGTGAACATCTCCTAATCTGTACGCTTTAAGCCTGTCCCAATGGCGTTCGGATCAGACAGGTTTTACTATACATATAAAAGACAATGTTTTCACTAAGTCAAAAAGCATGAGGATATATTCCCCTCTACGAAACTAGTTAAATTTTCTCTTCCATGATTAATTTAATAAGTATGGGATACACCAGTTTCTAAAGAATAGTTTTGATCATAGAGTATATTCTTTGAATAATCACACAGTACTGTATCTCAGTCCCTATAGATACAGATATTTCCTTCGGGAAAAACTTTTTTGTTTCAGATGCCATTTCTTAATTTTATAGGGTGACAATTACTCATACGCCTTCTAAGCCTGCCAAAATCATTGATACATACTGTGTTTGTCAGTAATTGATTTTAGTCAAAAACTGTAACTATGGGAGCCTATAGAAAAACTCCATAGTAAATCCCACTGAACAAATACGAAAAAATAGTATCTCTTCTCAAACCCAGTTCAGTACCATAACAAATGAAATACTGTAACTACAAAAAACTCACTGTTGTAATGTAACATATTCATGGTCAACTACAGGGTCAGTGGAGCTGTTCAATGCGTAAGCTTTCTTGCTGCGTGGGTTGTTGGTCCCTTTTCGTAGGAGATATTCACGGAAAACCTTCAGGCCTTCGTACATCATTGCCATGAAGAATATTCCAATACATGAGCCAACCATACCTGAAATGCAACAGATTAAACACATTATCTCGATTTACTGAGAATTCTGCCCATTTCTAGAAATGATGAAACATTTGGAAAGAGGCAAGACTTATATCCCTAATACCATAGGGATCCCTGCATTGCATTGCATTGACATCTGCATCATCCATAGTCAGAGAAAGGATTCTTATATCAAAGTAACATTTTATATGTCATTTGAAGAATGTAATCCTATTTTCTTTACTTTATTGCTATTTTTACTGTTATTGAAAATTGTATGTTGAAAGTACATTTGGCCCTAAAAGGGCATCAGTACAAATAAAATCCTATTACATTATATGAAAAAAACCTGATAGGATCATAAATATGTGAAATCATTGTACTTAAGTATATAACGTTTGAAAATATATAAATTGACAAAATGTGATAGAAAAAAAAATCAATAACAAGTACATGTATCCACTGAACATCACATATAACACAGCAACATACTTTATAAAATAATATTACCATGATAACTTGCTATGCACTATAAATTATCAAAGCAAAATGCTATTCGATAAACTAGAAGCAATCTAGAAAAAATGTGAACACCTACAATTTGTAAAAGAAACTGAAAATCAAAAGCCAAACACCGACAACTGAAGAACATTCACAAAAAAAGTTGGAGACTATAACAATGTCACCACTTGTGGCAGTGACATAGCAAAATATGTTAAAGTGTTGTCATAGTAACTTACCACCAGTAGTTGTGGTCTTCCAGCCATAAAACAAAATTGTTGCTTCAGGACTAAAGTGGAAATACATCTAGAATAAGAAAAAAATATATTTCAAATAATAAATCAAAACTGGAAAATTAATACATGACTTTTTTCAAAAATTGTCTAAGTTTAGTAGCCTTTTTGTTGGTACCATTCCTTGTCAATTCACAATCAATTAGATATCTATAATACTGTAAAGTAGTATTTAATCTGAGTAATTAATTTGCTGAATGGTCAAATTTTATCACTTTCCTAATTTCAGTTTTCCTAATGACAAGAAACTTCCTTTAAATAACATTCCGAAAATAATATTTCCGGCAATAGGCAAATTAAATGATTAGACAAAATGACCACTAATATAGTAATTTTATTTCTTCATTTTTACATAATGTTAAATATAAAGTACATGTACTAATATATATATATATTTTATTGACTCTTTAGATGTCATGACCTGACATATTAGTCATACATATGTTACATGTGTTAATAATTGGCTTATCCTAATCTCATTCATATTAATCTAAGCTATTTAGAATCAGATATAAGCAATTCACAACTCAAAAAATATGTTGTAACCACTTTTCCATGTTACTTGTGAACAGGTGAATTTTCAAAAATTGCCCTGAAACGGGTGTTCCAAACAGAGTGGGTCTGTTTACATGTAAGTTAATAGAACAATATTTGGTTCTTTTAAAACTGTTCCTTGTAGAAATGCGTTCCTTACAGAAAGGGGGTTCCATCAGACAGGTTTAATTTTAAATAAAAACTAAAAGAATTATTTTTGTGAAATTAAACTTAACATGCTCTTCTTCAAAAAGAGAAATAACTTCTGCATGGATGTGTTTTTTACTCAACACATTGTGTCCTGAATGCACGATACTTACTAATGCTTAGGTCACATTTGCTCCGATTCATCGGCCAGCACCTGGCCGATTGAGTACTTTGTTCAAAATTTAAGGTCAAATCTCAAATTTGAGGTCAGATTTGAACTCCCGAGAACTTGTACACGATTTAAAAAAAAAGTTTGGTCAATTTGAAATCAGTTTTGAACAAAATACTGCAATCGGCCAGGCATCAGCCGATGAATCGGAGCAAATGTGACAGGCATCTTTTCCAATTTAACACTAATGTTAGAAGTCCTGCATCAAGACCCTGTGCATACCATGACCCAAGATGCAAGACTAAAGTATCAGGCAATACCCAAGCTAGCAAAACAATCATCACAATGAGACTCAATTTGAAAAATGTATGTTATTATTTGTACCAGAGCTTAATGGTATGAAATGTCTGAATGAATAGAGGTGGTGTGAAAAATAGCTGAACTATTAATTATTTATTTTACTTGTATCATGTCTAAATAGAAAAAATAAAAACACCTACTAGAAATAAAAAAATTCAATTTTTGTTTTGTTATCCTTTTTTAAACATCAATCTGTAGAGAAATGCATTGTAGGCTAATTTTGACAGATCACCATGGGCTTTCAAGTTTATGCAAAAATGCAATTCAAGATTCGACCTAAAAACCAGATACAATAGAGCATCAATGAAGGTCTATTCAGTCTAGTTTTGTATCAAAATTAAGCTATTTGAATTATCTGGCCTTGGCCTTATTGAATACTGTAGTTAATATACAAGCGGACAAAAATATCATACCTTTTTTAGAACGATAAAAAACATGCAAGTATTCAAAGCCTCTAGAGATTAAAACCATTAAAAATTGAGGGGCATTCTCTTTTTATATTTTATATACTGGTACTGTTTGTTTTCTTTTTTATCAAAGTCCAAAATATTTATTAAAAAGTCCCAAAATAGATTTGACATTGCCCACTAACAACAAGTGATCATGCTTGTATTAAAGTAGGTGGAACATAGAAGCGTATTCGTGCATAATTTAGTGAGTGTTCCACAGTTTCACAAAACAAAAAATATATAAAAAAGTGCCAAATGAATTGTCAACATAGTACAAAGGTCAATGCTCACACGCTTAATTGGAATTTAAAGAACAATATGTGAGTGAGATTCAACAAACAATTTTGCAATAGCCGGCTGTTGATATACTTGTGGTAAAATGTCATGGATATTATAAGTAATAGTTGGACTCGCATTGCCTACATGTATCATAAATAAGCCTTCTTAGCATGAGTGGATTATTCAACATTCTAGTTATTGACTGATTGTCGGTCTTTAATATTTTTTCATTCAAAATCAATAATTTTATTAGCAATAATTCTGAGATGGACAGTGTCTCATAAGCCATTGTTGGCTTGGGGCTTTTGAATAATAGAACGTATAATTATGTAAAATAATAGGCCTGTGACACTTTAATAAATAATAAACTAAACTAAACTAAACAAATATCCAGACTAAATAATTCCTAAAAACATTCTTGAATGTATGGACATTTCCATGCAATAAGATGGAAAAATCAATTGAGGAATTTAGAATGTTTTGAAATATAAACATGCATTTTTGATCGTATGGACATTTCCATGCAATAAGATGGAAAAATCAATTGAGGAATTTAGAATGTTTTGAAATATAAACATGCATTCTTGAATGTATGGACATTTCCATGCAATAAGATGGAAAAATGAGTGTTTAAATTCTAAAGCACTCGGTGAAGAATATAACCTAAAAATCAAAAATGAGTCGTGAAATTTTCAAATTTCAAAAATCAGTCCATCGAGCATTTTGTCTGGAAACTTTAAAATGATAAAAATAATAAGCAACAGTATAAAGACAATACACATGCTAACACCAGCTATAAACAGCATTCAGGAATCTATGCTAGTGTCTATGCTAGAATTAAGGTCATACAATGCCTTAGAACCAACTTACTCCATGGGATGAGCCTGCGTGGGAACTGTGGTCTAAGGTGTCACCCTGGTCATGGAAATACTTTCATGTTAACATATACTCATTTTTATATTTATATTTATTCACAGTTGAATTAATTTCCATAAAAGGTGAGAGCAGCACTCTGTATAATTCCAGAATACAATCTCAATATTTTCCAACAATTAAAATGCCAGGATGTTGTTATTGTCTGACATTAAACTGGTTATTAATTCATAATCAGCGATCCAAAAGATTCGAGCTAATACATATGTGTATATGTATCTTGATCATTTCTGGTGTGTTTTTTTGTTATGTAATAAGACAAAAACTCATGGCATCCCAGGCCCGTAGCCAGGGGGGGTTCCCCCCTAGCCAAAATTCTTTCAAAATCATGCAGTTTTTCACCATTTTGAGCACTTCTCAAGTGATTTTGACCATATTTGGGCCTAAATTGTCAAATGTGGACCCCCCATTTTTGAAAACTGAACCCCCCCCCTTGGCAAATCCTGGCTACGGGCCTGCATCCTTCAAGATTGGATTCATTGTTAGAAAATGTTGAAATGCATCCCTGGGAGCCAATCCTCCTTGTCTCTTTTGGAAACTATTTTTCAAAATATCCTATTATGAAATGATAGATAGATACAGTGAAACCTGTCTAATAATCTGAATGCCACTGGGATCAGCAAAAACTGTTCAGATTGGCAAGTGTTCTAATTCAAGCTTCAATCATGGAAGTCTGACAGCTTAAGATAAACAAGGCATTAACATGCAAAATGTCACTACCTGCCATTTGTTACAGATGCCATAATTTGTTACAGGCGCCATGTTATAGATGCCAAACACCAAATGTAATCCACAAAAAATTTGGAGACTAACAATATTTCACCACTTCCGGTGGTGACATGAAAATGGGACCAAACAAAAGACAATCACATAAATAAGCATTTAGATTAAAAAGGTGTCTGGATGATACAGGTTTTACTGTACAGTGAATGGATTATTATCTGAATGAGATTGCAAGTCATTTGTCAACTGTAATGATATATTGATATTAATTTGAAAAATTTTATAATATAAAATGTTGTCAATGATGGATGATGGATAGTTTAGTCTTATATATGTACATACCTTCATTCCGCCATGGCCACCATGTCCGGCATGTGGGTCCATCGTAGAACCCATATTGTGTCCCGCATGTGGGTCCATTGTGGTCGTACTTCCCATATGGTGTCCGTGTCCAGCGTGTGGGTCTGGTGTGCTCATATTCATCATATTATGCCCTGGCATGGAATGATTCTAGAAGTAAACGTATCATAACACTGTAGTTTAAAAGCTTGTAATCATTATTTAAAATTGTATTTTTGTTATTGTAGGAGAAGCAAATACAATAATCAATACATATAACATATCAATGTAGAGACAATTATAGTTAAACAGCCATTTTGTTATTACAGTAAAATCTGTTGGAGTGGAACACCTTTGAAACTTCTAAAAAGTGTTCCACTTAGTACAGGAGGTGTTCCACTTATAGAAGTTCATTTTATATTAAGTCAGTTGGTTTTGGAACGATAACAGAGGTATTCTACTTCTAGAGGGTTTCTATTTGGGATGGGAGGTGTTCCACTTATAGAGGGTCAGTTGGTTTTGGAACACTGAAGTGTTGCACAAACAGGTGTTCTACTTCTAGAGGTGTTCTACTTAGGATGGGAGGTGTTCTACTTATAGAGGTTCAGTTTGTCTTTGGACACTGAAGTGTTGCACAAACAGGTGTTCCACTTTACAGGATCCACTGTACTTCATATCAACATTTTATGAAAATGCAGGAGATAATGGGATATGTTTGAATATGATAGCTTGTTTGCCAAGACAATAACATCAAAGTAACAACAACAAAGAAACAATATGTATTGTACACTATATACATAAACAATCACATCTAATCTTAATAGGTTTCATTTCAAAAATTGCAATCATATGCTTATGAAAGTTCATTTATTCAAAGTAGACAGTCTTACAAATCAGAAATAATATAACAAAAAATAACAACTAGCCACCGTGGTGTTATACTTTACTTTTTTATCTTATTTTTTTATGTTTCTTTATTGATATGTTTTTAATTGAAAATAATAAATAAATAATCATAAATCTCAGCGATCTCCCTAGATTTTTCTCAAAAGTGTGCCATTCCAATCTTACTTATTCTGCTTAAAATATGTGATTATTCATCCTTTGTACATACAGATTTTCAACATGATGGCATACAGTTTTGGCATTTTATTCATGGTGCAGTACCCATTGCGGGATCAACAGCCTGTTTTATCTGTTGGGGTACTCCTACCCCCATAAATGTGGGGTTGATTTTTCAAATCACCCCAACAACTACTAATGTATTGAACTCTTGGAGTTTTAAACTGTTGTCAGTAGTTGAAACAAAGCTGAATTTTGTCTAAATAACCACTAATCCACCTTATTTTCAACCACATGATTTCAATACACAAGTAGTTAAGGGGGTGATGTAAAAAATCTATCCCACATTTATGGGGGTAGAATACTCCCTATCAAGCATTAGATCGAGAGCGACTCTGAAAAAACAGACTGTACAGAAGTGGTTGCTCTTATGCTGGGAGATAACTGTATTTAATTCTCTAAATGAAAACCATTTCAATAAATGTTAAAACATTTTTTAGATGTTATAAAAGAAATTCAATTTTGCAATCCTCATTGTACATATAACAAAACAAGTACATGAAACTGATATGCAAAGAGCAAGTGAGTTGACCTCCTTGAAAATCTGACACTAGCTGACAGTGACACATCAAAGGGAGCATTTTCAAAATTCATATAGGATTTTTTGCCTGGAATATGGAATATCGACAAAAAAACAAGCAACCTGCAAAGATCAAACAATTTTAAATGATCACTTCATGCCTAGACCGGTAGACAAAAATAAATATTTGCAACCGTTTAATAACAATCACAATACCATTGAATTTACAGTAGAACCAGTTGCGAATAGTCTACCTTCAAATGTGACATTTTCATTGGTCCAATATTATGGCTTGCTGAAAGACTCCAATGTTATCCAGTTTCCTGATACAGGTTTTACTGTGTCAAAACTCTTGAATTGAAAATAATAGAAATGCCGCTAAGAAATCTATTGACTTTGTTTTTGCCTTTTATATAGGCCTGTGAAGTGGCATCTGGGTTGTAAATTATAATCAAAACACTACTTTATAATGTTTATATTCAAACTGACTTCATGAATTTTGAATTTAAATTGGCAACTTGACCCAAAAGAACATATCAAAACATTTGGCATTATCTAAATATTTGCCAAACATATAAGATTTGTAGTCCACCAATGTAGCTCAGGGGTAGCACATGTACTAAATATCAGCAAAAGGTCCAGATTCGATCTTGGTTCAGGCAAGACTTTTTACTTGTTTGTGTAAAATACTTCAGGATGTTTGACTGAGTGGTCCACAACTCGTACAAAAGGCCATGTACTTGTATGACTAAGAATCAGTGCACATAAAAGAACCCAGAGCTCCTTCAAGGAGGGGTTCCTGGGTCTGCCTTCCATTATGACATGCATTAGTTATGACAGTATAGGGGATATACCCAAGAGGTATTGCTCACCTTCAACGGTGTTCAACAACATACAATACAATATAAGTTATCTGGGTTGTAGCCAAAACATGTCTGACAACTGCTCATGTAAGTTTCTGCAATATTTGTATTCCCGTAACGTATTGGCGTTAGCATAATAAAAATAGAACTAATTAACTTTATGAGTGGATATTTTTATATGTCTTTTTTCCATCTGAAAAAAAACAGCATATTAGAATAACTTAGATTAGAAACTGCATCTTTACAATGTGCATAAATTGACACTTTTATGAAACTATAAGTTACAAATACTGAAGGGCAGAGGCATAAAACGATTAAATCAATTATAAAATGTTTTTCTTATCAGAAACTGCACAACTAATTTTTAATGGTGACTTTGTTTTGATATATTTTAATGTTAAATATTTTGATGTTAACTTTCTGAGTTAAAACTATCTATATCTGGTATAGACATATTTTCATTGGCAATGGCGAATCTAAATCACTGGGTGAGCCAAAAATGACCATACCAACCACCATACAGTCACAATAAAATACATATAGCATAACATCTTGCTTTTGTATAAATAAGATTTAGCAATTCAAAGTAAATTATAATATTAATAGTCATGACATAGTGAAGATTCTCTCAATGGAAATTGAAAATTAACGCAATCACCAGACAGTAGTAGTGAAAATTCTGGGATAGAATGATATCAATAAACATACATATATTTAATTCAAAAAATTCAAATTAAACAGGGAGGCAGTTTTCCTGGAATTTTGATGACAAGATTTAAGGGTAAATTATAGATTACAGATATGACTTTAAATTCAAATATTTCATGATCAAAAATCAAGATTAAGTTTTATTACCCTTTGCATTCATTCAACTTCACTTCTTAAAAGAGAGCTTCATCTTCACTCTTTCAGTTTACAATCTCTGATCTCACCGAGCCAATCACAGTTCGTTGTCGAAATATGGACGACTTGCTATTTGGTAATTTCCTCTGACATCCCCGCATAATTAATGAGCATGTATTTAGCACGTGTTCCTTCCACATCACTGATTGGTTGAGAAAGGATCAGCGTGGTAGATTTGAAATGATTTAATAACCCGGGCTGCAACAGGCACCAATTTTCGGGGCGGGGTTGCTAAATTGTAATATAGTCTATATTAGGCAGAGGTAAGCTAGAGGCAGGGGTACAAGATTATTTCTACTCATACTTTGTATTCAACCATATTTTAACAAAAAGCCATATCAAACTGAATAATAAAATCGCAATTGTTTCATTAAAAATGTTATGCTGCCAATTACTTCCACTTCATTAACCGAATACTATTATCTGAATATACCTATACAATGTACAATTGTTTAATTGATTTTTATCCGATGTTTAACTATTAGTCAATAGTATTAAAATGCTGAGGATGATTTTATTGAGTGACTAAATCCCACACAGAAAGAATGACTTGTAATTGAAATACTAAACTGTGTTAAAATTCTATTCAATCTTTACAAAATTAAAGCGCCCTGACACAATACCCTGTCAAGTATTTGGAAATGCCATGCACTGCCCTGTGTACAGTCTCGTTACTAGCTACCTTCTGCCTAGTACAGACTGTCATACTTACAATTTAGCAGCCATGGGCGTAGCGCCCGGTACGCTGGGTACGCACAGGCGTACCAGATGGTTGCAAATTCGCTCCAAATGCAACCAAATTTCAAAATTTTCCTGACCCCCCTGAATGTTTGTTTTTTGATTCATTCAACTCTTGATCATGTGGTGGTGGCGTACTACTTAGAAAAATAGCGCTACGCCCATGGCAGCCCCACCCATATGAAGTGTGACAGTGACAACTTGGGTCATAAATTATTTCAAACTTACCGTGCTGACCTTTCCTCAACCAATCAGTCTCGTTGAAGGCACATATTTTAAATGTGTGCTCATTTGACTAAATTGGCGTCAATGATGACATCAGAGGAAATGACCATATATAGAAAGTCGTCTGAATATTGACAATGAACTCTGATTGGCTCGGTGAGTTCAGAGATTCATTGTTAAGTGAAAGAGTGAAGATGAAGCTCTCTTTTCAGAAGCAAAGTCAACGAATGCAAAGGGTAGGCATGCACCAACTTGTCAAATCAATAACACCAAGAAAGCAAGTGATTTGCACTAAATTGAAAATTTGAAAATTGCAAATCATGTTTTGGATATTTTATAGATGAGACCAACTCTCAAATTGCATTTCTTATTCTTAATAGTGCTATTAAAAGAAACATATGATGTAAAAATCAGAACTATACATTGCAAATAAAACAAAACAACAATATAGCACTTTTTCAATGTGTGATAAAAAAGATGAGATACCTACCATCATACTGTGATCCATGATGATTCTAATAAATCTTTTAGGAATGTAAGAAAAATACAGCAGTACTCCAATAAGTGAATGAAGTCCCAATATCCCCACGAACCAGCGTGATTTATGCACCACCGTGCCTTATGTCCGTACCAATGTGTCCTTTGCACCACCGTGTCTGTGTTTACTGGTATCTAACTACAGTTTGATTTCTAACACGTTGCAGATGATCAAATAGAAATTGTTGGCACAGTCACTGAAGCGTAAATCCACGATTTATTACAGCCTCTGCGTCACACATTAATCCATAGAATGATCTGAATAAGCGTGAAATGTTTTTGTTTGTGTCATATGAATTGTTTGTCACCATCACACCATCACATGACCAGTGTATGTATTACGTGTATATAGTAAACCTTCCTGTTGAATCGGCTTCCTCTGACCAGTCGTATTTCATTTGTCGAAGTCCTCAAGATAATCGTGTCAATAAGTGTGATTTAAATAATAAAGTGCATTTATAAAGTCTACTCTTATACGTAACCTCTGGAGTTTTCACTGTTAGGTTCACACGCTTAATCAGTATGTTAGCCAGTTACTTCAGTACACCTAGTTCAGGTTCATCTGAAACGTGATAAAATAATCTATAAATGTAAAGTCAATGACGTATTCAGCAATAATATACCTTTTCAAATACTTATCATAAGTAGGAGAGGATGGAGTGGGGGGGGGGGTCATGTGCATATATACAATTTACAAACATGTGTGTAATCATCACGTCTATAATGAGAACTTTGAACACTTTTAGCCACTTTAATCAGATCATAATATGACCAGAATATGATAAAAATGTGTACCATTAGAAGTGTTATGTAAAGTAGGTAATGTATTCATAATGGTGGTTTTTACTTGAAATAAAGTAGATTGAAAGTACCACAAAAAATACTTAAAGGGGCAACAAGGCCTGTAGGGAGAAAATTTGAAAATGTTTACTTTTTCGGAGCTATCAGGGCAACATCTAAATATATTTTGACACTGGTCTATGATCGTTGAATGGCCACCTTGCACTCATTGTTGCACCTTTAATTGTTAATCACTCACCAAGACAGTTTGACCTATCAGTAAAGAATATATGGGTAGGAAATAAATATAGTAAAACCTGTTTTTTCAAATACACCCCTAATCTGAACATCTACCCCTTTTTATCTGCCATAGACTTCATCATTTAAAAAAAGAACTTGAAATCTGAACACCTCCTAATAAGTTTATAAGTTTATAAGTAATTTTCCGTCCTAGGCAGACATTGCCTGTATGACAGTTCTGATACTTTTTGAAACTAACGTAGCTTGGGGGCTACTTGTACGCCAGCAATTTCGTAATTGAATTTTAAAGGATGGTGATACCAATGTGCATCTAGGCGGTTCTTGAACTGGTTGACATGGACTGACTGCACTACGTACTCTGGGAGACTGTTCCAATTGTTTGTTACCCTGTGGCTGAACGTGTTTTGTCTCATTGAGGTTTTGCAGTGGGCTTTTAGGAGTAGTTGGGAATTTCCTCTTCTATTGTGTGTTTCTCTTGCTTGGAAATTAGATAATGTTAGGTAATCCAAACACTTTTTGCCAGTCTCTTCCTTGTTGAGACTAGACAGGTTTTAATGTATTGAACTAAACTAGTTTATGTAAAGTACATTCAAAATATTCCACGAAAAATATTGTTGTTTATTACTTTATTTTGTCAAGACAGTTTGACCTTTCAGTTTGGGTATCTATAAATATAAAAAATGACATGTTAAAAAAGCACATTGTTCCATGATAAAACTAAATGTTATTTACCATCACATTGTGGCTGCTGATGAACATGAAGTCTATAAATATATAAAATGATTAACAAAAAATAATCCTTATTAGGGATAATGATGGATGACTTATCTGCACACTTTGAGCAAGGATAAACACCCTTATCATGGCTGCTTTAATACAAAAGATTTTTCTCTAGTCACGTTTGCACTGCATTAAATTAGGGTTACTTAGAATTACAACGTGATGATAAGTACATTTAAAGGCAGACTATTAGATTCTGAGTGCAATCATCCTTAGTCAAAGGGTATTTCTCCTCTCTTCACGAGCTATGGTAGAAGCAATTCCCAATCGTGAAGGAAGAATGGAGATACGTGCGCTTAAAGGGGCAACAAGGCCTGTAGAGAGAAAATTTGAAGATTTTTACTTTTTCTGAGCTATCAGGGCAACATTCTGCTTAACATCTTTTTGCATACCTTTTTTCTCAAAATGTATGGATAAACTATCAATTTCAGCAATAAGAAGTGTAAATTCAGTTCAAAGCTTCTATAAAGGGAGTCCCACTTATAGATTTTTAAGATTCACCATGTTTCAAGAGGAATATCAGCTGAAATAATGTTCATCCAGGGGGTTTCTTTGGAGATAATAAAAATATATGTTAGTCTTCATGAAATATCCAAACTTTAATATATTTTGACATTGGTCCATGAGTGTTGAATGGACCCTCTGCATGAATTCTTGCACCTTCAAGTATTTGGAGGGTCAAGATTACTTTTTAAAAAAATTGGTATTTCGTTAGTTTAAGGCCAAAATCAAAGAGTAAGGGGAGGCATCAAAAGTTTGATGTCGGATCGAAAACTAAATAAATCTAGTTTTGACTCAGACCCACCCCTCCCCCCCAAAAACTAAATACTGTGAAAGTTGATCGCTTACTTCCGGTTTGAGAATTTGAAAAATTATTGCTAAACACGATCTAGTTTTTGTTAATTCCTATCGTAATTTGCAGCTTTTAACAACTATTGATAGAACAGAATCCATTGGAATGATCTTGACGAAGAAAGCATCAGGTAAAATCTTTATTTTTAAACCATTCCAAGGCATTATGAGTTGAAATTGCCAAAAATTTGAAATGTTGAAATTTGTCGGATAGCAAACTGAAATGGGTTTGAACCCCCTCCCCCCCTAACTAGATTTATTTAGTTTTCTATCCGACATCGAACTTTTGATGCCTCCCCTAACAAGGCATGTACATGACATAATGTCACCACCTAGTTGCTCACAATATCATGAGTTCAATCTGAAGTCAGATCTGAATTTTTGAGAGCTTGCAGATGATTTTGAAAAAAAATTGAAGTCAGTTTAAACAGCATTTGTTAAGTTATTGGAAGATGTAAGAATTTGTTACAGACACTGTAAAAAATACGAAATATTCAGGAAAAAATTATGTTTTTATTATATTTATATCAGCTGAAATAATGTTCATCCGGGGGTTTCTTTGGAGATAATAAAAATATATGTTAGCCTTCATGAACTATCCAAACTTGAATATATTTTGACATTGGTCCATGAGTGTTGAATGGACCCTCTGCATTAATTCTTGCACCTTCAAGTATTTGGAGGGTCAAGATTACTTTTTAAAAAAATTGGTATTTTGTTAGTTAAGGCCAAAATCAAAGAGTAAGGGGAGGCATCAAAAGTTCGATGTCCGATCGGAAACTAAATAAATCTAGTTTTGACTCAGACCCCCCCCCCTCCTCCCCAAAACTAAATACCATGAAAGTTGATCGCTTACTTCCGGTTTGAGAATTTGAAAAATTATTGCTAAACACGATCTAGTTTTTGTTAATTCATATCATAATTTGCGGCTTTTAACAACTATTGATAGAATAGAATCCATTGGAATGATCTTGATGAAGAAAGCATCAGGTAAAATCTTTATTTTTAAACCATTCCAAGGCATTCTGAGTTGAAATTGCCCAAAATTTGAAATATTGAAATTTGTTGGATTGCAAACTGAAATGGGTTTGAACCCCCTCCCCCCTAACTAGATTTATTTAGTTTTCTATCCGACATCGAACTTTTGATGCCTCCCCTAACAAGGCATGAACATGACATAATGTCACCACCTAGTTGCTCACAATATCATGAGTTCAATCTGAAGTCAGATTTGAATTTTTGAGAGCTTGCAGATGATTTTGAAAAAAATTGAAGTCAGTTTAAACAGCATTTGTTAAGTTATTGGAAGATGTAAGAATTTGTTACAGACACTGATCGCCAACCACCAACCACAGTCAAAAAAACGTAGACCTTAACAATATGTCACCAAATTCTGGTGGTCTTAAGCGAGGCACAGGCGAGTTATTAAGAGGTATATTGGAATGAAACCCTGGGATTTTGGTCAGAAAGGGGTGAATTTTAATAAATGAATATTGAAGTTAAAATTTTGCATGTTATCCGTTTAAGGCTCCTGAACTCTAAGCATCTATTGATGCTTATAAGCAACACCTCTTCAAAATGTGAGGTGAATGTCATATTTTAGTACAAAGTGTAATACAGCATGTGATATAATATGTGATATACTATGGAGTATGTGACATATGTGACTTGGTTTGAATTGAATCCCCTATTGACAATAGAACATCATTAACCTTTGATTGGTCAACAATGATTAGAAGATCTCTACTTATTGGCTTGTGTATGTTTAACATTGGGATTTGCTTAAAACATGTAAAAGTACAGAAGTCAAGATGATATTTGAGTCATGTATTCTCCTAAGGGCTTGCTATGCTTACTGTCAGATAATACCCTGATCACACAAAACTTATTCAAATATATATTATACTGATGTGTATGTTAAAAATATACTTTGAAAAAATAATGGTTTGGGGCGGTGGTTTGATTCATCCAGTCTTGACATAATCAACTGATTTGAACCAAAAGCAAACATACTGTATTGTATTGTTTGGAATATAATATCACTAAAAATTAATTGAAAAATGATATAGAACTTTTTATTCAAATGTAAAAAATTGGAGTTTATCAGAAAATCCCATATTGAAAAACTTGAAAACCGGTGTCGTAATTTTAAAAACATGAATGACCACCAAAAGACAATTCTTCTATTGACGAGTGAGGGGATCATATTAAAAGAATCTGCTGACATGATAAAGTATCTAATGATGGGTAGAGACAGGATTCTTATATCAAAGTAACATTTTATATGTCATTTGAAGAATGTAATCCTATTTTCTTTACTTTATTGCCTATATTTACTGTTATTGAAAATTGTATATTGGATGTACGTTTGGCCCTAAAAGGGCATCAGTACTAATAAATCCTATTATTCTATATAGAAAAACTTAAAGGGGCAACAAGGCCTGTAGATAGAACAATATGTTTTAATAAAAACCACTGTAAAGTCCCCATGATGATAAAAATAGAAATCAAACAATTCGAAAAATTATGAACATGGACCTCATGTCAACAATTTGATTCCCATTTCTGAGTTGGATAAAAATTTGTCAGCAGAACTCAGATTTCCAATGAAGGACTCAAATAATAAAAAAATCTGGGTCCCAAGGAAGCAGTTTAACTTTTACCAAAACTACTGTATAACTATGAAGATCTTCCTTACAGAAAAACGCAGCAACATACATTTTGCAACATTTGACTTTTAATAAACATTCATTTTTAGGTTTAAAGCAAATGGAACAATTTTTAAAACAAGAGTTGAAGAATAGGAAAGGTTAATCCTTAGTAACTGAAGTCACAGGTTACAACCATGGGCATTCTAGTTGAAAGCCTTAAATATGTGGGCAAATATTTTTAGCACAAATATCCTGGTGAAACTCCTGGGTACAATGGTCCTTTTTCCATATAGCTTTGAAATCTCGTTTTTAATGAGATCTTAGGAGATCTGCATTTTTAACCATTAAAGACTAACTTTTTCTTCTGTTTGATGGCATATTTGAATTCTTTGTGTAATTTTCTATCAAAACAACTTTGATTTGCACCATTATTTACCTTTATTCAAATTCTTAATGATTGTCTAGTTGTCTAAAAAGGTCGGGCTAAATCCCCATTCATTGGCACTATGCTGAAAAACCTTTAAAAGTTCATTTACTCTTAAAGGGATCTCAATTTTAATGTGAAATCACAATGCACGTGTCAATAAGATCATATAGTTATGTTCCAATGATGTTTTAAGTTGATCCAAATGGAATTACTTCTTAAATCAAGAAATTAAGTGACTCTGGCAATACATTTACATGTATTCTAGCCCTACCCTTGCCAATACCCATGATGACATCTATTTTCCATTTATATGGAAAAAGGTCAATATCCCAGATGCGAGTAGAAATAATCTTGATTTACGTCATTAAAAATTCACAATTCAGGCAAACTGATATCATATTTGGAATCTACATGTTAAATTACATTTAGAAATGTGGTTTTGAGAAGAATTTATTCACTTTGAAAATTTAATTTTCTTTGAAACTGTGACTTCTAGGTCGGGGAGATTCCCCATAGACCCCATGTTGTAAAACCACAAAAAGTGAAATATATTTTCTTGTGTTGGGCAGATAATATTTTCTTTTACTGGACATATTGTAATTTGTATCAGATACATAAAGGTAATATGAAAAGTGAACCACTAAAACTGATAAGGGAATTTTATAATACCCTGCCATGTTAATCCCCCCGAATCAGCCATCTGGTGGCGAAACTGGTAACTACCTACTCGCAACTGAGTAATTGGTGAGCATGGTCAGAGCCCTGGCAACAACATGATTTTCCCGGGACTCTTTTTTAGATGGGACCCATTATTTTACAATTGTTGGGTCACAAGGACCCAATGAAGGACATTGTATTATATACAAATACAGGGTTCGAACTTAACGTTTTAGACTGGTAGTGAAAATAGTTACCTGACATTTTTTCTAGGTAACTAAATTCCAAAGTAAGGTAGTTGTTTTTACTGGTTGAAAAAATTTCGATAGACACAGTTTTCCTTGACACTAAAAACAAGTCTATCGATCTGTTGATCTCAATAAAATTATCATTCCATGATAACATTTGAAACTTCATGCCTTGTTTTCAGAGATATTACTAAGAACATGTATCTATCATGTCTATGTGGAATCACACCAGGAAATTTTCAGAATCCGGGGAAAAAATATGCCTAGGCCTATACAAGTAGTATAGTGGTAAAAGGCCTTCATGGACATCAAATACCAGTATACAATTCAAGAATGTAATTGATAAGCACCTGATAAGACAGAAATTTCTTCCCCACAACTAAACCCATGTCAAGTGAGCAATTAAACAACGCCCCATCCCCCACCCCTTCAATATGACATTAAAATAAGATATAAAAAGAACTGGATCATACAGGACTTAATCCTTCTTTCCAGAATAATAGATATAGATATATTTGCCTCAAAAAGTAGTATTTTTCTGACTCAGAAGTAAACAGAATTAGCTTTAGAAGACCTTAGAAGAATGTTTCAAGTCAAACAATTCAGAGAAAACATGTTGTCTTATGAGAACATAAACATTGGTAGTCATGTGATCAGACCAAATTATAATAGCCCAATCAAATTTAAATTTCCCACTATAATTAACATTCCTAAGTGGCTCTAAGTGAAAGGTCAACCTGCTTAATTTATGCAGCTGTTGCGTTTTAGAGTTTCCCTCCCCAAGATTTTATTTTTTATTTCAAATCTACATGGTAAAATGGGAACTGCAAACTTTATTGAAGGGGCTATGCTTATTGAAAGCAATTACTAGTATTTTTCTCAATAGATGTCTCCCTCTCTCACACTAATCTGAGAACAGGAAGTTAGCAAACTTCAAAAAGTATCTTAATAATACTGTGATTTTACCTGAAAATTGCCGGTTTTTAAGACTTTATTTTAGAAAATAAGAATCTGTATGGTAAGTAAACACTTTATCTTATGTTTTGAGAAGTTATAGCCTAAAAGCTGAAGTGAAAGAGGAAGAAAAGCGCTATTACCCGACAAGTTTGACAGAACGTAATGAGCGGTGTAAGTGCACTTAAATGAACTTCTTTTGTCGAAAATATGTGTCGAGCATGTAATTTGCAACGCATGGGCTCATTGTCCTTTTTCGTGATACCCAGGGGGAATACTTATTATATATTATGCAATGCAATAGCCCACGGGTAGTTCAAAATGCGGCCTTAGTGATTAGTGGAATAAGCATGTGCCCTCTTGTAATTTGAGGTCAAACACCATGACATGTTATTTTTTCAGAATTACATGGCAGAGAAGCATCAAAATATAAGAAGTTAGATCTACAGACTTTATGAGCCAATTCACAAGCAATCCAAGATATACATCATTCGTGTGCAATATGAATATACTGTATTTTTCAATATATTATTGCATAATAGTCTTAAGATTTCATATTGCTTAGGTTGAACTGGTTGCTTTGACAGTTGAAGCAGTGTAACAGACTGTTCTAGTATGTATCCAACAGACCGAATATAATATTCGGTCTGTTATGATTGATACCCTTGGCATGGAAATCTCGGCGATATTTTGTGCACATAAATTTCTCGTTTATTACAAGAATGTTCACCTTGAAAATTGGTGAATATGTTGAAGAGATGTTCATCTTAAACTAGAAGCAAAAATATTTGTATAAGGCAGGTACAAGTTGATATAAAATAATGAAATGTTCAGACTCACCAAAACTTCAGGATGTGTTCATAAGTAGATCGCGAAATCAATGTCAAGGACGTTTGAGTTCACGAGATCCAAACGAGATATGCAAATTTTTGAACTTTGACTTTTAACTTCAAACACATGACCACTTGATTACCTCGGCCTTCTTCATGAATATTTCCGCTCTATTTACTATAAATGACGAAAATTAATCGGGATAATGATAATAAATGACTAGAACTAATAAATTCCCGCACAAATGGAATTTATCAATACGCTTCCGTAATGTTGCTCCGTCCGCTCCACATGTTATTTGTTTACAAATAGACTGACGTCACTGGCTAAATCTCGTTTATCGTGAGAATTGGCATTGCCAAAATGGCTTGACCTAATCAATGGGTTCGCTACAAGAAGCGTCTGTACATTTTATGAATATCTTCAGTTAGAGGACAATATACGAAAAAATAATATTGTAAGTTCTTTATAAGGTAATCATTTTATCATTAAACAAACTTATTTGTAACATTTATACAACACCACATTTTACAATAGTTGACTTACAATCTGAATTTATTCAGACGAAGGATACAGTCTCAGACTGTTCTGTACAGTTGGGGACAAAAATAAATGACAGGTCGATTTTCGATCACCATTTCCTAATTATGGTGGTCTGAAAGCCCATAATTTCCAATATTGTCTAGATACATATCCCTTAAAATTTGTATATTTTACATTATGTATAATCTCATCCACTGATTTATGGCCTCTTGTAAATTCTCTTATTTTTAACATGGGAAATCCTCACTTCAGCAAATCCACCTGTCATTTATTTATGTCCCCAACTGTAGCTCCCTTTGAACAGCACAAAAATTAATTGGAACAATCTGTAATTTAGGAACCAAACACATATTCAAACACTTTACATATTACTTTTATACTGTTTAAACCAATGTAGGAACCGCAATTACTCACCCATGCAGCATAGAAGTCAGATATCTGGAGAAATTATGAAAGTTGCAAAATATCAAGACCCGGAAGCTCCGAATTTAAAGCTACCAGCTTATTTTCCGGTAATAAAAGTATATTTTATTTTGAATGTTTTATCTTATAAATGACATTTAAGACCTATTCAAACAATACTTAATATTTTAATTTAATTAATTTGTATAATTTAGGTATATATTGACCAAGTTGCACCAAGATTTTAACATAAGTAATGGATTTTTAAAAATTCGAAAAAATGTTAATGAAAAAATTTAGCTCTGAATCAATGTTTAGGAAGCTAAAAAAAAGTCTTGTGACTTTTTGATATTTTCCCCATAATCCAGTAATCAAAGAGTAAACACGATGTTTTTTGATGCAGATAGTGAAGATAATGACTTCCTGTCAGCAGGTGGAGGGTGAGTAGCCTGTCATACTGTAAGCTAAGGCACTCAATAAAATGAGCAGAAATTTGTAAGATTTGGGGGGTGTAGCCAAACTTGTAAAACTTGTATGAATAGTTCTACTCTCAGTAGAAATCAGCTTATCCTCTAGTGTAGCCAGGATGAGGCGAACGATTTTTCTAAATGGCTACATCACTGTTATTAGCTTGCATGGTGAGCTATTGCTATATACTTGCAACTGTAAAATACAATCAGGGTACCCATGGCATTTTCTACCTTGAAATCTAAATCATATTAATCTATCTACATGTATATAGTAGTCATAGATACTAGTATTCCGTAATTCCGCGGCGTGGACGGAATTTGACAAAACTTCAATTTTTTGCAGAATCCCTGATTTTCATGAAAATCCCGTGGAATTACCAGAATTTCCAGAAATTACATATTTTACGATCTCCTACCTTTGCGGGGTATTTGAAGAGTGTCTGTTTATGTCCAACAATCAATCATTATTGAGTACAAGTACGATTTCACTGTGAAATTCAACATTCTATCACGTTTAAATTCGCTAAAGCGAGTTCGCTAATGACGCGCAGTTCTTACCTAGAAAGTAGCTGACTTCCGTTTCCGTTGCTACGTCAATTTTCATCGTTTTAAAAGATTGCAGAATTTGGACTTTTTTTGAAAATTTGTACAGAATTTCGATTTTCTCCTTGCAGAATTTGCTTTTTTTCTTGCAGAATTTTTGCAGAATTTTGATTTTTTTCATGCAGTACTAGTATCTGTGAGTAGTAGTTGAGGATTGCCTCTGATCCCCCATGAAATGAAATCCTAGACACGTGTTGTGATATCATTAGTCCACATCCAGGAAACAAATCTATTTGAGTTAGCTGTAGTTAAGGTAGCTTTATCTGCACTCGTTATAGTAAAGAGAAACCTATAAACTCACTGAGCCAGTGGGCTTATTGTTGCCAATATGATCTTTTTCCCGGGAGGTTCACTCTAAACGATTTGGATAAGTTTGTGCACCACAGTCAATTTTGACTCTGGTCAATTTAATCATGGACACTGGCCAATCTGAGAGGAAAAAAACATCGAAAAATTTTCAAAGAGAGTAACCTTTTAACCTTAAGACTGCTATGCGAGTTGTCACATGTCATGCTTATAGTGACCACTTATACATGTGAAGTGATGAAATAAGGTTTGTTTTCTCAATGTTGTTCACAAGTAAAAAATGATCTGTCACCGTCACCTTGTTTTGGTATGGCATTAATCATCTCCGTAGCAATACAGAAAATACTAGTGCAGAGGTGACAATCTCAGTAGCAATACAGATTTCATTCATGAAATAAAAGTGTCTTCTACAAAGAATGGTATTAGATTGTTTGTAATGACATGGACATCTATGAAGTTGAGAAGAATAAAATGGACTTTCATTAGTCTGAGATTAAACATGGAAATTTTCAATCCTGAGAGAAAATTGTTCAAGATCTAAATCATGATATTTAAGATTAACTGAATGTACTCACTACTGCATACACATCTCATTGAACATTCATTATGCTCCATGCTATATGTTGATTATGTTTTCTAGGTCTAAGCTTGGAGCATTGTTTGGGATGGACAAAGCCAGTAACAAAGGTGGGAATGATTCACTGACATACACAGCCCCTAAACAACCACAGAAAGCCAAACCAGGTAGATTTTCATATACACGTGTATGTAATATTCAAATAAGCAAAATCAGTCAGTAACTCAGTCACACAATCCTGTTATAGCTGGTCTTCAGAAATACAATGCATCAGGGTGTGCAAGTTGGTTTCTGCTTCATTTTGTGCATGACATGACAGGTGGAATTTTACAGATTACGAGTATATGCCATATTTTTGTGTCATCGCCAGACATTTTGTTATAGTTTTCAACTTTTTTGTGGATGGTGTTCATTGGTTGACTGTTGATGTGCATCTGTAACAAATGGCAGGTTGTATCATTTTGCATGTTAATGCCTAGTTTGTACATTTGCTACTCTTATTTTACATTGTAAGTGTTAATATCTAATATATACTTTAATTCCTTGGATTTTTTCAGCTGAGAAGCAAAGCAATCAACCACAAATACTCGGAGCAGCAGCTGTCCATGCATACAAATAGTAAGCGGATAAATAAGTTGTAACTGTTACTCTTTATTAGAAAAAGGTCATTGGCCAAATTGTTGTTAAAAGTCAGTGTTCAACCGACAGTCAACTTTGAAGTAATAGATGGCCTTCAATGACAACCAGGTCACTGCACTGGATATTTGATAGCAAAATAATATTATGACTATATTTGCCATTAGCCACCTAATTTGGACTTTGGGCTTTAACTCGCTTTATGGTTTACCAAAAGTGTCCTGATTGATGTTTTTGTGTTCTTATTTTCACATTAAGAGGTGTTCGGATTAGAGAGGTGCACGGCTGTTCACGTTTTACTGTATTTACTTTCAGCGTCAATGGTCAGTACACAAGCCAGGGAAAACTTGGTGCTGCAATTCTTGCCAACCACACAGCATTTGATGTAAGTTGAATATTTTAAAAATCGGCAGATAAATAAATCATTAATCAAAACTGACCCCGCTGGGCTCCTTGATGAGATATGCCATTCAAACACTTTTGAACCAGACTACCAATACTGTAGACACATTTTTTCTCAAAGACATTGAAATATCAGGGAAATGAATTTGCTGAATTCGTGCACCATGTCCGGACCATGACATTTGATTTTGAAATGAGGCATGAAAGGATCTATGTTGTCTGCGAGTTTAGTAATGTGTCAAGTAAATTTCAGGACTTTTTTATCAGAGCTCAAAAAGTATTCATTGTATGAAAATTGATAAAAATAGCCTTTTTATTAAGGTAAAGATGAGACGTATTATGATACCTGTGTGAAGCAAAAATCTGGAAGTTACAAGTAATACTTGTGCCTGGAAATGTCAAGGCATTACATTCTATTTGAATTCTTACATGTTGTAAATGTTTTATTTATATTTCAGTACAAGATACTCCTGTACGTGAGTAAACAGCAACAAGTCACCAATGCAAAGATTACTCCCGACTTCTCATTCACAGTAAGCATTTGATCACATAATATTCATGAAGAAATAATTATTTTGGCTCTTTGTGTCCATTTATTTGGATGGAAGTATCTACTCTAAATCTGGTCGAATTTGACAGTTGGATTTCAAAAGAGAATCAGATATTTTACTAACCATCAATCCTGGAGCCCATCTTTTTAACTACTCATGCCTGTAGCCAGCTTTTGCTACAGAGGGTTCACTCCTCAAAAATTCCAGGGGGGTCGCATTTGACAATTTTGGCCCAAAATCACTTGAAAAACTGCATGCTTTTGAAAGAATTTTTGACAAAGGGGGAATTCGCACTAACCCCCGTTAATAACCTCCGTCATAATAATCATAACAAAAAAGAGTAAGCCATACTATTGTATTATCTACAGAACAATCAATATATTTGTTATTTTAAGGTGCAAGCTGGGAACTATGCTAATTTTTATGATGATGCTCGTCAGAGTTGGTCCTTGATGTTTGATTCAGATGCAAATGCAATCAACTTTGCAAAACAGGTAAAAAAACACTTATGTAGTATTCTCAAATGTAAAACAAAAAATTGTACAAATATATTTAAGGCTCGGGTAAAAGTTATGGTTCTAAATTTTGCTTTTTCAAATTGATGAGGAATGCAGTTTTTATGTCACCACCAAGAGTGGTGAAATATTGTTAAAATTTCCAACTTTTTTTGTGGCTGGTGTTCGGCAGTTGGTGGTTTGTGTGGTGTTTGGTATCAGTAACAAATGGTAGGTGGTGACAATTGCATGTTTCTTTTTGTCAACCAAGTGACTGGGATAGAGGTCCACTGCCCAATGCAGACTCCTCTATACAATCTTACAATGTCATATGTACATTTTAGGTAGCTATAGCAACAGCTAACAGTGCAGCAGGGTCATTGACCTCCCTTGTCAGCCAAGATTTGTGTCTGGGGGAGGGGGGACCATTAGAGACAGGAGACTCTGCTGAAGTGAAATATACAGGGTGGTTACATACAAACTTCACAATTGGACAGGTTAGTTCATTAGTGTTCAGTTGTTATACTAGCTCATTCTGTACAGTTTTCTAGTTGGCTTCAATGTCATGTAGTCTTTAACAATAATGGCTTACTCAGGACGTTTCGTTTGTTTGCGTATCTTACGTGTGTTCTGTTTGGACACATTCTTCATAGTTGTGTTTATATGGTTTGCAGGAGTTTGACAGCAATACCACAAAAGACAAATTGTTCAGATTCAAACTTGGAAAAGGCAAAGTCATCAAGGTAAATAACTAATCACAAATCATTCATTTTTTGATTAAAATAAAATTGAACCAAAATACCCCCTCTGCATGTATAGTAAAATGTCACCCATTGGAATTTCACAGTTTTTGTGTGATGAAAGTTAGATATTTGAACTCATCTTAAAATTGGTGAGTACTTCATACTAACAGGGTGAAATGCTCAGCATCAACTTTTTCTCAGCCATACTGAATGTGTTTTCAATGCTGGTGTCCTTCGTTGTCTGGAAAAGCATGTAAGCACCCGTGGATAGTTAAAAAATCAAACATTAAGAATAATGCACAAAAAAGAAATTAATTATATTTTGAATAAAATTTGTTATTGTAGGGTTGGGATGAAGGTGTAGTCGGAATGAAAAAAGGTGGCAAGAGATTACTTGTGGTGCCACCTATGATGGCATATGGGGCACAAGGAATGGGAGATAGGGTCCCACCAAATTCTACGCTAATTTTTGAAATTGAAGTTGTCAGGGTGAGTTATACTATTGATTTAACACTATTTTTCTTGTTTCAAACAGGCTTGTAAATTTAAGAATTTTTTTTATTAAAAAACAACCTGGAGAAAATAGCTCTGACTAATATGGAATATATATTATAAGAAGACTTCTTTATGTGAACACTTGAAAGTTCGTCTTCACTTCAGAGAGATGTTTCTATATCAAGAAATACTGTACAAGGTCAACAATAAATGTACAGAATATTTACACATTTAGACACAAAAATGAAATGCAGTAAAACTTTTCTCTATCCGAATGCCACTAGGACTGGGCAAAAATGTTGTATATTGCAGATTGTAAAAATGGGACTGAAATAATGTTTTTACTGTATCATTATTTGGTTATTTCTATTTTGCAGGTAAAGCTGGCTAAAGAATACAAAGATTCCCCGAGTTCCAGTTCTGCCCCCTCTCCTGCTCCTACCCCCACCCCCTCTACAGAGACCAGTGCCCCTGGGGCAGATGGTGAAGAGGACTCTGTTAGGGCAAGAACACGATCCATCAATGAGCAGCTCTCCCAGGTAATTGTGAACGAGAAGTTGCATTTTTTCAATGTCAATCAAAAATGTTAATGCATTTTATTTTAGAATTACATGTAGCATCATATCAGCTCGGTCAAAAATATTTTAGATTGTTGCAAGAACAATAAAGCCAGGCGGCAAAATGCATTTAACGCAGTACATTATTATGACATTCTATTATATTATTCCAGTCTCCTACATCTGACAAGGCAAAGTTAATATCTCGAATGGCGAGGATGGGACAACCTATGGTGCCCCCAGTGCCTTCAGGCCATACACAGACAGACAGTGAAGATGAAGCGGTAAGTTATATGAATTTTTGATAATTTAGTTATGAACGAATTATCAATTGTTTAAAAATATTTTCTATTGTACTGATGAAGGACTATGGTAGGCTTTCAAAATGTCTATATTGATAATATTTTTTGAGAAAATTATTTATTTTACCTTTAAGGTAAGTATTATAATTTTTTAAGTTGTGAGTTGGCCTAATGTGACAATATTTAGGCCTTTTTGATTTTGCATAAAATTGCTAGTGTGCAAGTCTATAGAGTGGAAAAGTCCTGAAATATTGAATTCACATGAAGCAAAATCAAAGTACATGTAGTGAAATTCGGGGTTCATGGAAAACACATTTATAATAGATTTATAATAGCCATTATGATAGATCATAGTTCTCAGTCATTGCTGATAGATGGAGCCATGAACTTGTGATGACTCATTTACAAGACCTACACATACAAGTATAAAACTGTACTTAGATTCTCAAATGTGAAGTCTCTTATCTCCTTTATCTACGGTCTTAGGTTGACCCCTAGATAAGCATTTTGTTATTGTCGACAATAGTGAAATATCATTGCCGACAGTTCTAAGACATTCAAAGCATGTGACTTTATGTAGTACATTTACATTAACAGTACAGTACCTCCTCTTTTAGTGGGATTCTTATTAACTGTGTATCATGTGTAAAAGTAAGATTTTTATTTTTTCTATCCAACAATTCTGTTGAAACATAATTTCACATTATGAAATAAATTTGAATATAAATTAATGATGTTGTTTACTTCATAATTTTGTGAACTTTTTATGTGTCACTATTTGTTTGAAAAGTGTAATCTTTGATAACTCAATACCAATACTCAGGGAGTTGCTGTTTTTCAAGCTTATTTTTAATAATTTTTTCAATGAGCAGAATGAAGATTTAGAATTGGTTTAATATTCACTTAATTTACTCTGTGTGAGTTAAGCTGTTTGATTCCAATCCTAATTATACTATGAGCACTTAAATTAGGTGTTCTATCCATAATGAATTTCTCTACCCATAATGCAATATAATCAGCAGACGACATTCTATGCTTCCAGAATCCACCAACCATACAAGGTGCTCCTGCTAGTCAGAAACCAGACATTCCAGCGAATAAACCAATTGCACAGCCTGTAGCACAACCAATGGCACAACCAGTGTCACAACCAATGGCTGGGATGCAGCAACCGATGGCACAACCAGTTGGTATGCAGCCCATGATGCAGGGAATGCAAGGTGGGTTTACACTTGAAATAATCTTCCATCATGAATAAATATCAGTTGCATTAGACAAAAGGCAGGTGTCTTCTCTGTGTTAGATATTACATTTGATGCCTTTCTCAATCAAATGATGAAAAGTACAGAGGGACAATTTAATGCAAATCAGTTTCTTAGGAAACACAATATTTTCACAAAATGTGCTCTGAGAAATATTTTGGACATTAGCATACATGAAAAAAAGCTCCTGTAATTCATGAAGATTGTGCAAAAATGTGACAATCATATAAGTTATGCAGATATCACAAATGGAGTCTCAGAAATGTTTTTAAAAAGGTGATGAAAATAATTTTATTACAGGAGTGACTCCCACAAGCCAGGTGGCACTGTTTCAGCCCCAACAACAACAACAATTCCAGGTAAGTAAACAAACAAAAAAACTTTTTAGAAAAAAGAATGTTTAAAGAAGACCACTGCACTGAAATTCATGATTTCTCAAGTCGAATCTTGCATGCTTATAGACGGACATTTTTTATGAATAAAAAGCCTGCCTAAATTAATGTTAATGAACTTTTGGACTTAAAATATCTCCCAACAATAATATAGACCTAATGACTCATCTTCTCACATCTTTTAAATCTCTGTAACTTGTAAAAGAGTAATAGGATTTGGTATTGGTATTGGTATTTGCTTGCCTGCCTTGTGTTTGTGTTTTAGAGATGTGGCAATTTAATCAGACCTGTAACCAGCTTTTTCCAAGGGGCTCGTTTTTAAAAAAAAATTCAGAGGTTTGACAATTGTGGCCCTAAATCACTTGAAAAGTGCTCAAAATGGTGAAAAACTGTGTGATATAGAAATAATTTTCGGCCGTCCCCGCCTTGCTGGGGCCTGATAATATAGAGGTCTCTGGAGCATGTTTATCTTTCTTCTAGGTCTTTTACCTGGGAACTTGGTACTTAATATGTTAATTATAATATAACTATGTTCTCTATTTTAGATGTATGGTGTGAGTATAATGTATAGAATTGAGTATATTTGTGTTAGATTTGAGTTATGCATGAATAAGTAATTATCCCAATGAATGAGATACTCAAACTGACAAACCTTTTGAAACATCTTCAAATAACCCATAATGATGTGGGTTATCATTTTGTTCATTGGGATTTGCTACTTTGTGGTGTTACCATTTCTTAGCTTCGTTAGTCTGAGAGCACATGATTAATTGCTGCTCTTGGAGGTATATGATGGAGAAAAAATCTGTGGATTTTTATGGGGTCATACTTTTGGGCTTGGGATAGAAAAAATAAATATCTTATATCTTTCAGTTTTATATACTAGTCAGTGATCTCCCCAGCATCAAAGCAAGTGGGCGCAGCACCCACCTGAGATTTAGAAAATAGGCTTGCACCCACCTGAAAATCCATTTGCACCCACTTGAAAATGAGAAAAATTGGCCTATTTTGACAAATTTTGGTCTAAATTGTGAAAATGAGAATTTTGCACCCACCTGAGAAAAAATCCTGGGGAGATCACTGCTAGTGTACTGTAGTATTACTATTTTAGTTTCCTATTTATTAGCTTTAAAGCTAGAATAGTGAAATATGCCTGAGTTCTTCCAATATAGGCCGACCTTGGGAGGCTCTATATTTGGGCAAGAACAAATGCATATTTCACGACGTAGTGACATAACTGATGTATTGCATACCTTTATTCCCATGGCTACTTTGTATCATTGACATCATGCTATTGTCATGGTTATTAAAGAATCTAATATCAAAACGAGGTACAGGGGCTATATGGGGGTAATTGGGCAATATCAGTGGATATCATATAGCCTGCTAACTTTCTCATTGACTTCCATACAAATGCTTCACTAGGTATGTAATACAGCTTGTTATGTCACCAACAAAAAGTGGTTATACATTGTTTTAGCCAACATTCTTGGTCACGAGCATTTAACATCAACATTTGATATCAATGAAAAATTGTTACACTGGAACTTGCAATTTGGTGGTGACATTTTGTCATGTCAATGCATTGTTTCCAAAGTACTATCATTGTAAAATGTAACTTTTTTTCGGAGTTAGTTGGTATCTAATGTGCTAACTGCATGTTTGGAATGTGATGGAATTCTATTTTAATACTCGTTGTCTATGGCTTCTCTCATTCTAATTTAATATACTTAGGTATTGTTATTTATTTTTATAGTTTGGCTTCTTAGTGTTTTTAGGATAAGTAAATGTTTTTTGTCATATGTATTTCTGTATCATATTTTCTAACTGAGCCTGTGATGATACTGGGCCGAGCATGTTTTGGATTTGTGATTAAATTCAGAGATAATGCACTCATACACTTAACAATACACACATTGGTAGTTTTTTTATATATATTAATGATTATTATAAATAGGAATCTCAAGCAAAAGTAAAATTCAATGAACTACAATGATTTGTGCATTATATTTCAATCTCATTCTCCTTTGACTATTCATATCTAACAATGTACATAAATGGGGAGTGGAAAATTTAAAAGTTATTGTGCACTCACAAAACTATGCACTATTCAAAGGTTCATGTGATCCCCACATGGAAAGGGGATGGGGATTTTGACAAAATAAAAATGGGTTGTCAAATTCCCTATTGGATCAACTAAGTGAGTATTCTTCAACCTTGATTAAATACAAAAAAACAGTGAAAATTCCAATTACTGGGAAATGCATTTCAAAAGTCGCTACTTTTGGGATGAAGTACTCTGTCAAAATCCCACCTCCTGAGACAATACTTTGTGTCAAATTCCCAACTCCCTTTGCATGGGAGGTCTCATGTAAACCTTTGAATGGTACATTTTAGAAAGTTTCAAGTATGTAATTAGCTGACCAAATATGATAAAATTGTAGTCAAGAAAATTCAAGAAATCAAGCCAAAAAGCTGTAGTCCAAATCAGTGTAAATCAAAGTTATGACTAAAATGTACAATGTACATGTATGCCCTTATCAGGGTATGCTATACACCTAATATACTTTTACAGTATTATTTGACTGTTGAAATGTATTATTATTTCTAGGCTGGTTTCCAGCAACAACCTTCTCAACCAATGCAGTATCAACAACAACCCAGTGTGCCTCAGTATAGTGGCATCTACCCACAAGCTCAAGGTAGGGAACATATACAGTAAAACATTTATGTGGTGAACACCTATGGGGCCGCATAATATTCACTGTAGATAGGTGTTCACTACAGAGAGGGGATTTTATACAAATGTGTCTTGAAGTTGTGTTCACTAAACACAGGTGATCGCTAAAGAGAGGTGTTCTCTAAGAGAGGTGTTCTCTAAGAGAGGTGTTCTCTAAGAGAGGTGTTCTCTAAGAGAGGTGTTCTCTAAGAGAGGTGTTCTCTAAGAGAGGTGTTCTCTAAGAGAGGTTTTACTGGATTGGCTCGGTATTGTATTTCCCTTGAATTTTTTATGGATTGCTCAATTTGACTAAAATGTCCATAGACTTTGGTGATTTGTGACCATTCAGTTGTGTAACATATTTTTGTGTCAACATCTTTTATTTCAGTTTTTTCTCATGAAAATGTTGACTTTAAAAACATGTTATCTTTTTGAAATAATTGTATTTATTGTAATTAATTCATTGTACAATAAAAGCTAAATATTTATTTTATATCATCCATATAACAAATTGTCAAATTGTCAACATTCTCAAGTATTACTATACCTTGAATAAATTCTGGTCAAATCTAAACAGTAATAATGAACTCTATTTTAGCACCCCCTCCTGCCCCTGCCCCCAGCTCTAACAGTCAAGACCCCAACCTCCCTGTGCTACTGTCCGAGACCCGCCAACAGAACACAGAAGTCAGACTCTCACTCAGTAAGCTGGCAGACAAACTAGACAGATGTATGGAAAAAGTAAGTTGTTTTGTAATGTATGGAAAAAGTAAGTTGTTTTGTAATGTATGGAAAAAGTAAGTTGCTTTATTAATGTATGGAAAAAGTATGTTGTTTTGTAAATGTATGGAAAAAGTAAGTTGTTTTGTAAATGTAAATGTAGAGGTATAATGATTTTATACTTCTGGTACCAAATAGACGTGGCGTATCAATCTAAAGCAAATAAGCTATTCGTTAAAGTGAATTGTTTCAGAGAAACCTTGAATCACATAAATTTTAATATATGAACAAAATTCTATTAACTTGCACATGTCTCTTAATTCAGAGCTTGATAAATTCATTAATATTAGTATATAACAGTAAAGGTTGACACTTCTGGAAAAATGTGCAAGTATGAGATAAATATGTTATTTAGATGTTAATAGTGTATATTTTAAATATCTTCTTGTAGTTAGAACAACAACAGTCCAATCAAGGCCAGTTAGCATTACATTCCAACATGCCTGGAATGGAGACTGCAGTATTGGTACACAACATACAGAGATTAGCTCAGGTAATATTTAGAGGTTATGTCACTATCGTGGCATATATGCCCGAGGTCTCAGTGACATATGGCCCAACCTTGGGAGGGACATTGATCTCTGAGAACCAAGGGCATATGTGCCACGATAGTGACATAAACGATTTATAACATACCTATGCTGATGTAGACTGGTCAGAGAGTACCGTTTTTTTATAGAATTGACAAACAAATGGTTTGAAAATGATTGAAATGAGTTTAGAAAAATTGCTCGCGCAGTTTTATCTTCGATTGATTGGTTATGACGTCAGCGCCTTGACCAATCAGAAAGTTAGCGGGCGCGGGCTTTTCAAAACTTATATTGGCCCGCTGTCTTGTGTACACTTTGCACTAAGGTATGTTATAAGCTTCACTTATTGAAAAAGATTATCTGAATGCCACTGAGACCAGCCAAAAGTGTTCTGAATGGCAGGTGTTCACATAACAAGGTTTTTAACATGAGAGTCTATGGCAGATTGAAAAATGTGATTGAAAAAGCATTCACATTGAGAGGTGTTCAGATTAGAAAGGTGTTCAGATATACAGGTGTTTCTGTATTTGAATATTATAGTTTCAGCATTTCATCAATCCCTGACTCCCTATTTAATTTCTATGAATTAAGAGCTAAATGTTTAACATGTAAAAATATTTGAAATAAAGTAATAAAAGAAATAGTTCCAGCACTTTAGAGAATCATTCATTTTATACTTTATGGAACGATGTTTGCAAACACCTTTAGAGTCTATTGACTCATCTTAAACATGTTTACATTATCTTTTTTTCAGGAAAGTGAAAGTCTTAAAAAAGAAGTATTTGAAAAAAGTTCCAAAATTGATATTCAGAATGAAAAAATCTCTGACCTTCTCATGAAGAACCAAAAGTAAGTTTTACTCCATGTAACTTCATTCTTGTCATGAATTTGAAAAAATTGGTCTAAAACAGTTGCATCATGTTAGGAACGAATTTGGTGTAGATCTGTTATTGCAAAAAAAGTGACTCATACAGTCATACCAAAAGATCGCCTGATGGTTGAACAAATAAACTGAAATTGAAAATTATTCAAATAACCTCCTCATAATAGTTAGATCAGATGATAATGAAATCACCTCAAACAATATTTTGGAAAAGTATCCTAATTAATTTTCAGACATTTTTGTGAGAAATGATTTATTCCTTTTTTCTTGTTTAGATATATTGAACAAAGCAACACAATGATGGAGGAAAGGAATGCCACTTTTAAATCTACCGCTTCTCAGTCACAAGCCAGGGTACTCACCTTAGAACAAGAGAAGGTATGTTTTGCATTGTGGGAAAATTGTTGCATCATGGGAAAATATTGCATTGTGGGATAAGTGTTCCATTATGGGAAGTGTTGCATTATGGGATTGTAAAGCATTGTCTGATAGTAGTGTGCTAATAGAATTCCACATTGAAATGTACATGTACTGCTTCAGTCATAAGCCAGAGAACTCCCTTTTAGAATAAAAGAAGGAAAGTGATGCTTTTTGTGATACTGTGCTGCATTGTGAGAGAATATTGCATTATGGGATATATAAGCATTGTGGGAAAATGTTGAAGCATGATATTTATGCAATGCACATGAGAAACTTATATGAGTGAATGTCAGTGAACTTGTATCTCAACAACATATTAAATTTTGAGAAAACAATTTTGAAGTTTAGATGAAAGTTATTCAAAGGTCACTGTGACCAAAACTGATTATATCTCAAACAAGCATAGCAATAAAAACTTCATGTCTGGGTGTTATTCATTTTTTATTTTTTACTGGTCATTAATCGTGGATTACTGAAATACTTTTAAATATCTTCATCTGATAAATCGTCTGATTTTTTACAGGTTCAGTTAGCAACAGACCTCAGCCAAGCGACGTCACAACTCACGACGTTACAACTAGAAGTGACATCTATAAAAAAGAAAGAGGCGGAGCTACGGCAAAGTCTGGATTCATCATTAGCAGAGGGTAACAAGCAACGAGACGAATTAGCAACTTTACGCACATCACAGGCTGGTGAGTTAATTTTTTCATAATGTTGTCTGTTTTAGTATGCAAGCATGTAAATTTCTTAAAAGAAATCTTGCTTTATAGAAAATTAACCTTTAGTTAACTACATGACTCTGTGTTATTCCTTGCTTGGAGTCATTTTCCACTCTTTAAAAGTGTTATATGTTGTTGTGACCTTGTGCTACTGGGCATGTAGGTGGATGGGTGACACGTAACTTTTGTTATCAAAAATCCAGAAAAAACACTTTTCCATTCAACTTGAAATATTGTCAGATTCAAGAGTGGTCTATTTCAAATGTTTGATTAGGTTTTGGGCATGCTGGGTAAATTGCATGCTCTCTAAAGTGCGATATTTATCATTCTGTTTCTTGTTAAATATGACCAACAAGTGGAAAAAATGACATACTGTAAAACCTGTATATCTGAACACATCTATTATCTGAATCTGAATCTCTCTAATATATGAACTCTTTTTCTCTGTGCTAATCTCCCATTTAAAATCTTGTTTAAGATCCTTGAAATGCGAACACCTGCTATTCCAAACATTTTTTGGCTGGTCCCAGTGGAGTTCAGATTAGACAGATTTTAATGTATGTATAGATGCTAAAACATGTCTAAATGCATTTGTAAAACTTCAAACACTAAATTGATCAGATAAAAGTGTTTGAGTAATAGTACAATAACATTTATAAGAGACTTAAAAATAGGAGTTGCAAAGTGTTCACATTTCAAGGTGTTTAGTTTAGACAGTTGTTTAACCCTTTCCCGACGTGAAAATAAGAGGAAAGTGTTGGCTTGGTGATGGTTAAGTAAGATCAGTTTTTAGGTAAAAACTTGAAATGACATATACCCCGGGACCTATGGTTTAAATTTCATCACTAGAATACAATTTTTAATAAGCATTATAACATACCTATGATGATGTATCGTGTATAACTGTTCACAAGACAGCGGGCCAATATAACTTTTGAAAAGCCCACGCCCGCTAACTTTCTGATTGGTGAAGCGCTGGGACTACGTCATACATTAGGCCTAGGTCAAATTGACTCGGACTTGATACAAACATGGGAATAAATCATCATTTCTGAACCATTGCTAGTCAATAAGATAAGAAAACGGTACTCTCTGACCAGACTAGATCATCATAGGTATGTTATAAATCGTTTATGTCACTATAGTTGCACATATGCCCTCGGTTCTCAGTGATCAATGTCCCTCCCAAGGTCGGGTCATATATCACTGAAACCCTCGGGCATATATGCAACGATAGTGACATAACCTCTAATTATCACATGTGAACAACTTGTTAAAATTTGGTGTAAAAATGCTGAATAGAACTGGAGATATTGTCATTTCATTGATGTATGTAAATGAAAATAGCGGTGCCAAAAGAAGCCTATCGTCCCATGGTTTTATTATAATATGCCTTTACAACATGATTCAACTCTTCACGCACATCCAAAACATAAAGTTTGAAGTGTCTCCTTCCTTTTCAAATTTTATGTCATTAATTTCTAGTGAGTTTAGGTCATTTTGACTATTTCAGATATATTCATATAGGTTAAACCAGACATATTTAAGCTTGGAGGTTTTCAAAAAACAGTGGATATATTATCTGCTGTTATATATTGAGGTCACAAAATGGTCAGGTCTCGAGATCTCATGTGACCATTGTTGAGCAATATTAATGCTAGAATAAAAGATACAAAGACAAAATTGCAATAATGCAAAAATAGATTTCTATAATATTCTTACCATTGTGTGTTTTACAATGTACAGTAAATCTCCCATTGACTGAGATATTAAGAAACATTGAACACAAATTCATCCTACTAGTTTTGACCAGCAGCTTTCGAACTTCACAGGTTTTACTGAATATTGCCATACCACTCAAAATCTACCCTGCATCATTTCAGCTAGCCTGCTTACCCTCTGAGATTTACAGATAATTTAGCAGGTTTAGTGCTTATAAGATCTTAATAATCTCCATAGAACTGCTTTCACAAATTTTTATGAAAATTTGAATGTTCAGAGGACAAACTTACCTTCAACAGGCCCATAGCTAGCTTTTGCCAAAGAGGCTTCAGTTTTCAAAAAATTCCAGGGGAAGGTTCACATTTGACAAGTTTGGCCGGCCCAATATCACTTGAAAAGTGCTCAGAATGGTGAAAACTGCATGATTTTGAAGGCATTTTTTGCCAGGGGGGAGGGGTTCGCTATGGGCCTGCTTTAATGACCTATTATCGAAGAGAAGGTCCTTTGCCAAGTTGAAGTGTTCAAGTGATGCTGCCAAATAGTGAAATTGCCTCCAAACAAAAATTGATAATAAATGATTGTATAAAAAGATACTCTATCAAAACATTTATGCGTGATAGAGTGGGAGTTTGTTTACATGTAACTCTACATCAAACGTTTACCTGAACAATCTATGTTGATACATGCATTGATACAAAATGCCCTAACCGTTTTATCATTAGAGCCATATACCTAACTAACCTACGCAACTCAGTGCTATTTTTATTTAACATGTAACGAAACATATTAAACAGTCAGTTAATTAATATTCTGATCATAAACCTGGATTCAATGTCTGGTGCAATTCGTCGAGCTTGGGACTCGTTGTTCCGGACAGTTTTAGATGTGGACACACAGACAGATGATTGTGAAAATGCCATCGAGGCTTTGGCAAACTCAGAAGGTATGATTGACTGTCTTGGAGCGATCATTGCTGTGTTGATCAATCATTAAACAATCATCAATCATCTTTCACAGTAAAATGATCAATCATTGAAAAATCATAAACTGTTATAATTGATGAGATGTAAACAATAAAGTGGAAAAGGCAATAATCTTAAAAAGGCAAAAATCTAAAAAAGGCAATAATCTTAAAAAGGCAAAAATCTAAAAAAGGCAATAATCTTAAAAAGGCAGAAATCTAAAAAAGGCAATAATCTTTAAAGGGTTTATATAGTCCCTATATAGTTCAGGGAAAAAATCATTTCCAGCAAATTAATTTCCCTAACCTTGAAAAATCTGAGAATTTGGCGCTGCCAAAATAACGGTCTGATCAATGGGAAAGATAAAAGATCCTTAAATAAAGATTGATTTCACATTTAAGCCTATACTGTTGAATTATTTTTTTATTAGAAGTACTCTACATCGATTCTGATGTTATAACATGGTCTATTTAAAACTGAACTCTCCCCCTTGGCAAAGGGGAGACCCCTGGCTACGGGTCTGCTAAGTCAACATTGGTTTAGATTGTGAGGAGAGAAAATATGAGATGAGTAAATCAATTGTTTACATTAGATCAAAATATGTGAATTAAATTATTTGGATAAATAGATAGTTTTGGAGAATTTCAATTGAATGGATTAGAATAACTTCTATAGAAGGGAATTTATGCCCCCTTCTTTGTTCATCAGGGTCAAGTTAGTATTTACAAACTTATTTGGCATCAGTATTTTCGTTTTGACTCAAAGTAAGAGGTGCTCCCTCTGTGAATGTTAACAAAACTTAATGCTTTCATCAAAATTGATCAAAATTAGCAATCAAATAAAAAACTTCCACTTGGGAGGTGTTCCACTGACAGAGGTACATTTAACAATAAGTCAATAGGCTGCAGGACTTTGAAAAGGTTCCACTTATGGAAAGGTTTTACTGTAAATGGGTTCATAAACTCAGGCGGATGAGATACTGGGGATGTAAATAAACTGAAATGACTTCAAATAGTCTTACTTAAGTTGAAATGATAAGTAAATGCCTGATATTCATGTCAAATGCAATAGAAGAACTCCGGATATTTCCTGATAAGTGAAATCTCATTGAAATGTTGGTTTATGTTTGATATTGGAATGATGTTCTATTCAGTTCAGGCTATAAATGTAAACAAAATCTATGTCCTTAAAAAATAAAATGTGTGCCAGTGTGTTTGGGATGGAAACTATTCAAGTGAATCTACTTTCAATGTAAGGTACCCAGGAATGGTAAGTTTAAAATTTTGGCATAACATATACACTTACATACTAGCATATTACATTTTGCATGTACATGTATGTGTATTTGAATATCATACAGTATATTCAGTTGACGATCATATAGGAGTTGATATTGCAATACTTAAACTGCATATAACATTGAAAGCATATGCAACGCCAATGCTTAAAAGATTCAAATACCAGGTAAATAAAATATATTAATTGTTTCAATGTTGATAAAAATGAACTGTATATGGCGTAGTAAATATTTTGATTCTTCATTCATAGTATTGGTAATGGTTTGCATGATTGGTTGTGTTATATTTATTGAAAGTGTTATATACCGTTGGAAATGCTGGTTATTGATAGTGTTCCATTGGAAATACTGGTTGTAGTCTACTTACAGTGTGAGGCTGATATCTTGTATTCAAAACTCATATGACAATTTTAAAGTGTGATAACCAATTGAAATTTGATATACCAATGGAAAGTCTGATATATTCTACTTGCAGAGAATGACAGAAGGATAGAAGAACTGAATTCACTTTTAAAGGCAGAAAAACAAAATAGGAAAACTAGAGACACAAAAATATCAACCTTAGAAGAAGAAATGGCGGATTTAAAAAATACTAAAGATACATTGGAAAAGGTAAATACAAACTTATATCATAAGAGAATGTTTGATATATTTTTAAAAAAGTCTACTTTGTACTTTATTCACAATATCATATTTTTGAAATTCAAATACTCTCAAAAAGACTTCAGCATTAGGGAAAAATGATGTCATCATCATATTCTAAGTATGAACATTTTTTTTTGCACTGAGTTATGTTTTTCCAGACATTATCTGATAGAAAGAAAAAAACGGCTATTGAGCTTAAAAAATCAGAGGACGAGCTTGAAGAACTGAAGGCCCAACATGAGGTAAGTAAGAGAAAAATGCTCGCTAAATCTAACAACACAACAAATAACTGGATACAGGAACAACTGACGTCATTCTTTGTTTTCATAAACCAAAAAATTTCACAAAGATATCCCGGGATTATTGGTCAACGTACAAGTAGTTACAAAGCAGCTATAAATCCATTGAATGACATATTCATTTAAGCATTGTTTTTATTAAATTTTGACCATTTTCATGCCACAATTGACCATTTGCTTTATAGATGGGTAAGTAGTATGTGTGTTGGTAGGGCTAAATACTTGCATTTACAATGGAAAAACTGAAGTTATTTAGTTTCTTAATATATTGAATATTTCCAAATGGATTAATAGAAAACTCCATTGGCATCAACTAGATGATTTTTGATGTTTAAATTGCGATTTTAAACTTAAAATTGTGATCTTTAAAAGGATAAATCAACTTTCAAAGATTTTTAACATTGTGTCAATGGAGACTAATAGACTACCTATTCCATGAACGTTCAAAATCCTTCGAAATTGAATCAAATAAATGTGACAAGAAAATCATGCACATACATGTTATTCATATATGTCATGAATTAGGGCTAAGTCTTCAGTGGTTAAATATGCAAAGGAGGAGGGAAAGTATCGAAACAGATTTTGGACAGTCATACGCTGGATTTTGGCTATTTTCTGAGTATTTAAACAGGTGCATACTACATATGTTAGGCCAATGCATTATCTCTAGGAAAAGCACTCATAGAGATGATAAAATAATTTTGACTTTGAGACAGGAGAGATGCAAACACCCCCCCCCACATGTTTTTTTCTGAAATGTTGTCCTGATTTTCAACCCCTTCCACCCCTGCTTTTTCAATTTTTTGTAGCCAAAAATCAACATATGACTGTCAGAAATCTATTGCGATACTTTCCCTCCTCTTTTCTTAAAATCTCATTCGAAAGGACACTTTAGTGAGTTTATATAGCAAAACTATGTAGCAAATGGCTACTTGACTCACAAGCCATTATGATACCTGTAATCTAACTTCTTTTTGATCATGGCATCTTCTCGGTGACCAATGTCACTTCTACTGTAAGGTTATTTCAATACTTTGACACTTTAAACATACATGAAAAACCATAAATAAGGCATAAAAAGTATGCAGTAGGTGTTTGCTAATTCTAATTCATGAGATCAGAGGTGATGATGCGCTCGTGTTTTCTGTTTGCTACTTTATGAGAGATGTAGTTCTATAAATCTTAGTTGATCATTGAAGGTGAATATTCACATTTTATGATTTGTATTATATATAAATAGGTGCAATATAAAAATCTCTTTGCATGTATTTCTTTATAAGACAAGGAAAAATTAAGTTTGGGTGACTTTAATCAAATTATAAGGATATAAGAAACTATTTGAAAACACATACCAGATTGGAGTGAAATAATGTGATTTGCAAAAAAACATGAAATTAAGATGGCAAAATTGATGAAAATAATTGCGCTCACCAAATTGATCTGAAAAGTATTCAATATCTCAGTTCAAAGAGTGGCCAGTGTTAAAGATGTTCCTTTTGGAAGTTTGGATTTGAAAATAAAGGAATTAAAAAAAGGGACTGAACGCATATTGGGCAGTTAGAAATGGGTTGTACGTCAAGTCAGTCTGCCACAGATGTGCCTGATGATAGGAGTAAACAACCTTTAGTCCAAGATGAAGTAAGTGGTAGCAGGCCCGTAGCCAGGGAGGAGGGTTTGATGAGTTCGAGCGAACCTCCCCCCCCCCCTGGCCAAAAAATCTTTGCAGTTTGTCACCATTCTGAGCACTTTTTAAGTGATTTTGGCCATTTTTGGACCAAAATTGTCAAAATTGAACCCCCTTGGAATTTTTCAAAAAGAGAACATCCTCAACCAGCCTTCGCAAATCCTGGCTACGGTCCCGGGTAGAAATGTAGAGTGATGCATCCCACCAGATTTGTGCAATTGGGGAAATGAAAGATGATAGAATACACTCAACTCTTTTGATGATGCAAAGAGACGAAACCCGTTCCAATATTACTGATTTTTACAGATAATTGTGTATTTATTTCGTGACAAATCTTGTGGCTTACTTTATTGTCACATGTCTATAGATATTTTCAGGACATGTATTTGTAGAATCAACAAAAAGTGAAATTTTGAATGTGGTCACTACACTACCAAAGTGTCCTTTTAGGCTCAGTAACTGGTGAATAACTCAGATGCCAGTAGGCTGTAGTTACCAGTTTCACCACCAGGTGGCTTATTTGGGCCAGATAGCATAGCATTTATTAAGATATTATCAGTTATGGGTTCAATTTTCATACCATCCCCATGTATCTAATAGTTATGCAAATCAAAATATGTCCAGTGAAAATAAAATGTTATCTGTCAAATACAAAATGGATATTTCACTTTTTGTGATATTATAACATGGGGTCTATGTTGAATCTCCCCAAACTAGAAGTTACATTTTTCCCCAAAAATTTAATTTTCAAAGTTGATGAACAATTTTCAAAACCATATTTCTAGATGTACTTTTAGATGTTTATTTCAAATATGACATCACTTTGACTGAATTTTGAATATTTAATGATTTAAATCAAGATTATTTCTACTCGCATCTAGTCTATTGAGTTATGACATGAGAATAAATATATATAGATTTTTTCAACCTATATCAGGGCCCATATTCCAGTACTTATGTGCATAGCCAGATGCAAATAATTAGACAAACCCAAAGATGTCCATAGATATGTGTCAAAATAGAGTAAACCACAAGATTTCAAATAAAACAAATACAAAATCATCTATTAGTATTATGATTTTTCACTGAATTGTAAATCACGCCTAACCATCGATAAGGTACAGTGACAAAATATACCGTAGTACACTTTAAATGTACGATGTCACTATTTAATTGATTTGAGCAAAGACAATGATGCAGGTGTGATGTTGGTTTAAAAAAATTAATCTTGGGAATTCTTTGATTAGATTAGATCTCTCAGATTATTTTTAAAACCTACATCAAACCTACGTCATTGTCTTTGCTTCAAATCGGTTAAATAGTGACATAGTACATCTAAAGTGTACTACGGTATATTTTGTCACTGTACCTTGTCGATGGTTAGGCGAAGTAAATGCTGTTTATGCTTATCAACTAAACACTAAAAATGATGGAAAACCACTTGTCCCATTTTATTGTAGTAAATTAATGTTATTTGAATGAATTTATGAGATTTCTAAAGTAAAGAAAGAGTACAACTTTGGTCAAGTGTCCACTAAGTGCTTTGATATACAACTTCAACCAAACACTGCACATATTTTAGGCTTCTTGAAAATGGGTCATTTTGGATGTTCCTTTTTTGTTACACTTTGAGCACCATTGTCCTCATGCTAACTAAGTGCAATTGTTTCTATCATTCACAGAGATAAATGTAAAAAAGCAGAGACAAATCCATGTATTTGGAGAATTGTAACTTTGTTGTTAAACTAAGCTAACTAAGTGCAATTGTTTCTATCATTCACAGAGATAAATGGAAAAAAGCAGAGAAAAATCCATGTATTTGGAGAATTACAACTTTGTTGTTCAACTAAGCTAAGTGCAATTGTTTCTATCATCCACTATTCTCAGTCTCCTAACACCTGATACATGTTATACACTCTTACATCCTTCAGTCTAGACTTTGATATGAATGTGTTATCAGAAAAACTACTTTACATCATAAAACACATGTTCAAGTACATGTACTTCAATCAAATTATTCTTTGCACATCCCTTGTATTATTTTGTGGATTTTTGTTGATGCATTTTTGATTCAAGTTGGATTCAAGCAATATTGATATTAAAGAATAATGAGCTACGGAGGATAATCAATGATGATGGTCTGATACATCATTCATCCAAGGGTTTATTTAAAACCCTGGGCTTCGTATTTGTACCAAATGAAACTAAACAACAAGACATCCAGGGCTTAGTATTGCCTTTATTAGACGCTAAGTGGATAAGTATTGGTTGGTAGAACAGTAAACAGTAAAACGCTGAATGCCAAATACATCGAAATTGCAAATGAGGCACGTTTACCCTTGATTGAACTTAGTGCTATGGATATAGACATTCGTACTGTAATAGAAGTTGCCGCTGGGCTGATTGTGTCTGTGTTCGTTTTTGTCTATTGCAACTGGGAAAGAAGCAAAGAAAAGAACGGAGAACTTACGGTAATTCAAGTTCTTATTTTCCCAACTAAAGGACAGTTCTGATATACCCATATGAGCAAAAACAAAAAAGTATATGGGTGGAAAAAATAAAAACACCATGGACTTATTTTTTACATGAACATGCTTTCCCGAATGTTACACCATGGGCTTTCAACTAGAATTGAAAGACCATGGTTACAAATAGTGGTACATGTATACCGGTTACAGGTCCGTAGCCAGGATTTGCCAAGAAGGGTTCACTTTTTGAAAAATTCCAGGGGGGTTCATTTGTGACAATTATGGTCCAAAAATGGCCAAAATCACTTAAAAAGGGCTCAGAATGGTGAAAAAATGCATTATGTTGAAAGATTTTTTGGCCAGGGGGGTTCGTTCGACCCCAACGAACCCCCCCCCCCCCCCTTCCTGGCTAGGGGCCTGCGGTTACGTCTAAAACGGTAATGTACTTTTCAACATTGTGGCTTTCCAAGTACAAGGGCCGATCAAAAAGTTTTTTTACCATTGGCTGTCGATCTTTCAAAGTCTAAAAGTTACAGCAACTGAAACCTTATGAATGAAGATTATGTTTGAGATGAATTGCAATTCGTAGCAGAGTTAAGACACTGTTATTCATTAATAATTTCATTAGAATCTTTGAAATTTGCACTTTGTGCAGTATATCTACAGCCAGTTTCAATGTTAAGAGGAAGCATAGATCTAGATTCAGTGCCCTGGTTTGAATTATTGCTAATTTTGCTGAAAATTTGCTAAATCTTTTTGTTTACTTAGGTAAGTTCTAAAACAAATTATGGCCAATATTTAATGCTTAAATATTTGTGATTGTATTTTTATATTTTTTTTAAAAAAGAAATATTTTTATTTAATTTGAAAAAAAATCCATAATTGCTCAAATCAATTTTGGTGAATGAGGGAGGGAGAGTCATATAGACTAATAGGTTACATTTAATGACAGAAGTAAAGAATTGAAGTTAAATCCCAATAATATCTATTTTAAACATCATTTAATATTGTTAATGGTCAACTTTCACACTGCTATATATCATGGCAACAGAAAAAGAATTATACCTTCAATAATTTCACTTAAAGCTGTCACAGGTTGGAGAGGTCTAAGGTGAAGTGTACCTGTAATCACATCTCTTAACTCACCTTTACATTTGCATTAACATCAAAGGGATCCACCAACAGGTGTTGACAGGTAAAATAAAAAATAAACAACAAGGTATTTATTGTACATACGTAGGCATGGCACAAACCACTAAAATAAACTAAAATGTGAAATTGACTCGAGCAAAGCCTATTGAGTTTTAAATCTACAGGGGACCTTAATAAGGTGTACATGCTAACCATAAACCTGGCGCTGAACTTAATATAGTCTATGCATGGCACACATCCAGTAGTGCTGCATTAACAGGGCACAAAATGCATATGCCTATGATAGATGCATAAAAAGTAAATCGTAACACATTACTTGATATTTCATTCATAATTTATTATTCAGAGATGTAATTATGATTGAACTTTGAGAGGTGCATATAGATTACAATTCTCAGCCATTGCCACTTTGGAAAAATCAATCAGGAAGTCTAACAAAAAATTGGAGTTCGGGGTATAATTTCGCAAGATTTGGAGTATAAATTAGGGGCTATTCACAATGGAGATGATGAATAACACAGCTTGGTTTTGGACAGGGGTCGCAGCGGGCATTGGTGTCCTGTATTGCCTTAGACGATGGGGTATCATAGAGAAACAGGTACTTAACTCGTAAAACTTGAGCTACATCTCTTGATTCATCAAATATGATTTTAATGTGATTTAAGGTGGAATATCCGACATTTATCTACTTGGAAATTCTGGCACAAAAAAAACAGAAATATATATGTATGACTAGGGATATGATACTAATTAGCATAAAAAGTCAGATATGAAATACACAAGTGTCAAATGCCAAAAATAATATTAGTCGCCATTCTGTTATTCTAATGAGTGAACCGTATAAATACAGTAAAACTTGTCGGAGGGAACACCTTTTTGTAAAGGATACCTCTGTGCACAAGGAACAGTTTACAAAAGAACCAAATTATTTTCCATTGACTTACATGTTATTGTACCCTCTCTGTAAGGAACACCTCATATGTATACTGTATAGTAAAACCCAACTTACAGTATCTGAATGCTACTGGCACCAGCCAAGCATAATTTGATTGGCAGGTGCTCAAGTTTTGAGGTTGTGTAACTCTGAAGTCAATGGCATATTAAAAAACGGAATTGAAAAATGTTCACATTAAGAGGTGTTATGAAATTAGAGAAGTGTTCAAATGTGCAGGTTTTACTTTACTGTACTGTATTCATTCATTAAAGGGAATGAGCTTTTCAAGCCAATACTTAGGAGATGTTGTGTTTAAAGATATTAATGCCTTTGAGTATGAAATCAAAATTCAGCCCCCGCCCCTCCAGGAATATGACTTGTATGTTAAATGATATTTCATTGAATTATATTACATTGTTGTACTGAGTCAATGTTTACTTAAGAATTTCCACCTGAACCGTAAGAAAAATAAAATGAAATTGAAGTGTTTGCACAACTTTGCAGGTTCCAAGGTTATATGAGGCACACCCACACGACTACTTTAGTTTGTGTATATGTCTGAGTAAGATTTATATAAGTGTGCACTATCACATCCTACATCATACAGTCTCATTGTATTTTAACTATCACATATTTAATTGAATTGGCATTTCAGATTAGATGCTGATGACTTAATACAGTTTTCTCAGTAAACCACCTTGCATAAGTGAACTAATTTGCACTTTTTGGTTGAAATTGCCTGTTAATTCAATTAAACAAACTTTGAGAAGAGATATGTAGAAGCACTCCATCCATCAAATATTTGTTTATCTGTCTCCAGTACCAGCTAGATTAGATTCTCATCATATAGACAGGATTCTTGCTATGGATAGGATTTTTAATATGCTTGTTTGTTCAAAATGGCCCCCATTTTAGTGGAATTTGCTTCACCATTAAGTTGGTGTTTATCTCATTGTATTTTCTCATCTGGAAGTAGAATTTTGATTTTGGCCATTACTCATATTAAACCTTCTAATAAGAACAGGCCCGTAGCCAGGATTTGCCAAAGGGGGTTCACTTTTTGAGCTATTTTTTAAAAAGTGCTCAGAATGGTGAAAAACTGCATGATTTTGAAAGATTTTTTGGTTCGCTCGAACCCAGCGAACACCCCTGGCTACGGGTCGAAGAATTAATGTCTATATTTTCATTAATGAATGATTACTTGATTGTGAATGCAGCTTGTGTTTGTCCATGTGTTACAGGTTGAGGTTCAAGACTTGAAGGAAAAGTTACGCAAACAGAGGAGCTCAACAGATGTCGCCACTGCAGAGCAGGTTCGTTAACTATAAATTCATTAACAATAAATTCATAAGCATAAGTTAGGTATTATTTTGCATTAAAATTTCAAATCTACCACATTAGATGACTTTTAACTACATTGTACTAATATGGTAATAATTAATGTGTAATAATGTGTTTACAGTTCAAATAGATACATGAAATTTGTATTTAGTTGGAAGTGTGAAAGTGTCAATTAAATACATACTCTATTATGCTCATACCACACACATTTTAAATGGTGTGTATATATTACATTCGCCATTTGCATGTGGCATTTGTGATTTTTATGACACTATCAAAAGTGGTGACATACTGTTATAGTCTCCAACATTTTTTGTTTTGTGGATGGTGTTCGACATGTGCCAGTTACCGTTCGGAGTTCAGTGTCTGTAACAAATGGCAGGTGGTGACATTTTGCATGTTAATGCCTTGTCTATAAATGCAGCATTAACCTATTATTCCATCCCATATTTTCACCCATAATTTGCCCATTGTTTTACAGGTTTCGCAGGTGGAGGCAGAAATCACCAAAGAATGGAAGGAGAAATCAGAGCGCCAATTGTTGGCTGCAGAGGAAAAGCACAAACGTGCCCAAGCAGATTTAAATGAGGAAAAGCAACAACTTGAATCCAAACTCAAACAACTGGAGGATAAGGTGAGTTACGTTTAACACAGGCCTGTCAACTGTCCCGCAATTTGCGTATTTGTCACGCATTTGCTGAAGAATTTGAAGTCACGCCAGTTATTTTTGCGTGACAGAAAATGTCACGCAAATACGCATTTTACCTGGTAATTGTCAAGCAAAAATATTTCTGTAGAAAAATTTCTAAAAAAGATCGTCTGCACAGCAGAAATACAAACGCCGGAAAAAAATGTACGCATTTAGTTCGGACTTTTCACGCGAATTACGTATATGTCACGCATTCCGTTCGTAAATTTTTTTCCTTCCCCCCCCCCCCCCCCCCCCCCGTTGATGGATGTTTGAAACGCGAGCGTAGCGAGCGCGAAAAATTTGAGGTGTTCAAAATTTGGCAAGATGTAATAATATGGAAACCAAGGTGTTCAAAATTTGGATAAAGGTGTTCAGATTTGGACCAAGGTGTCCACATTTTGAGGGGAGGTGTTCAACATTTCCAAGTCACTCATGTTAGGTGTTCCCAAGTTGACAGGCCTGTTAACATGATGTGCTCCACCCACTATGGCTCATTGGCAGAGCCAGTTAATGCTTTGCCCTGGGTTCAATTCCCAGCTCAGACAAATTTGTTCGTCTGTTAAATTATTCTGGTGTTCAGGATGTTCTTTCTGTTCTTGAATTTTAAAACCATTTGAGACGTTACAAATACATATTCATTCTTGACAATGTTGTGTAAGATATACAAAGAAAGAGGAAAGAAATCAGCCATGACTCGAGGTAAAATACCCGTTTAGTATAATATTTTCTTTTTTCACCCAGGTGGTATTACTGAAGAGTAGCCAAGGAGACAGTGGGAAGAGAATATCTGCTTTAGAAGAGGAATTAGATGAATTTAAAGTATGGAGGGATAAGGTAAGTAATCATTGAGTAATCAAGTCACTGGTGATCTGCTCGATTACACTGGTTACTGAAACGGTTCGTTTTGGTAACAAAATGTGGGAACGTCGAAGGTATGATTTTTCAGTGAAGTAATGAACCTCATAGAATGACACAACATAAGCTTTTACAAAATTACATCACTAGCAGAAATAGTTTTGAATATGATGCTTTATGATGCGTTCTTGCGTAACTACCAGAAACAAAGGTGAATTACATACAAATGATCTCCAGTAACTGACATTATTAATGCTTCTGGTAGAAACACAAAAACTAGAACGAGGACGATAGGTACTACACCTATCGGCAGAACTCAAAACTACATTTCTGCATTGGTTACACATAAGCCGAATGTTGCTGAATCCACAAGAACACATAGCAACATTTATATACTATCCTGACTGGAGGGAGAGGCTCTATTATGGAGAGAGAGAATAGAGCCCCTCCCCACTCAGAAGAGTACATAGATGTTGCTACATGTTCCTGTGGCTAATTCAGTTAAATATACTCTCAATTTGATCAGCTGTTTTTATTTTGTCCTTGTAATGTTTTTATCATGTATATGAAAATAACATGATAAATGGTCCATATTTCGCTTTTATCCAGTAGATTTCAAATTCTGCGGATGCACCTTGCCTGTTTGTAATCTTAAAGCAAAGGTATGGGGTCACAGGGGTCTAAGGTTCTAAAGGGGCTGAATAATTACTAGATATTTCAAAGGGTAGAGGTCAATAAGGGCGCACTTCAAAAGAATACAGGTTGCCATTGGAAAACTTGATGAAATAAATCTTTGATAAGAAAAAAGAAAATGGTGTAATTGTCTGTCTCTGTTTTAATTCAATAACAGGAAAACTTGTCTCGGTGGAACACGTTTAGTACCTCTAAAAAGTGTTCCACATGTGAGGTGTTCCACTTTTAGAGGTTTGTTCCACATTAAGTCAGTTGGTCTTTTGACTCGAAAAGTGTTCCACTTACAGAGGTTTATTTAACATTAAGTCAGTTGGTCTTGGTCTTGGGACTCTGAAAAGTTTTTCCACTAACAGAAGTGTTCCATTTCTGGGGGTGTTCCACTTTACAGGTTTCACTGTACATTTTTCACATTTTCACATTTTTTCACATTTATTTGTTAGTATGACAAGCTATGAAAACAGGCCCAGGTTTCACTGTACATTTATCACATTTTCACATTTTTTCACATTTATTTGTTAGTATGACAACCTACGAAAACATGCCCAGGTTTCACTGTACATTTTTCACATTTTCACATTTTTTCACATTTATTTGTTAGTATGACAAGCTACGAAAACAGGCCCAGGTTTCACTGTACATTTTTCACATTTTCACATTTTTTCACATTTATTTGTTAGTATGACAACCTACGAAAACAAGCCCAGTCAATGAAGGAGAAATACGAGGCCAGGATATCAGATGTGGAGGCTGAGAGGGATGAAGCACAGGAAGAGTTGGAATCACAGGAAGAAAAGACCAAGGCAGCTGTTGCTGCAGCTGTAGCCAAATCAACAGCTGCTGGATCTACTACTGCAGCACCGAGTGGAGATGCGGCTCAAGAGGTGAGATATATATAACTTATATATAACTTTTATTGACATCTTGTATCATAACATGATTACATTAGTCATAACTATGAAAAAACTAAATATCTAAACTACAAATACTAACTAAGGCAAAAGTACAAAAATATATACGAGATATACAAAAACCCAAAATAAAGGTAGTATACATCATGATGAAAGGACAAGGTTACATTTATAGTGTGGTGCACATACCCTGCATTCTGACTACAAATTCTTAAATGAATGATAAATGAATTTTCCAATGTGTCTTTGTAATGTTAAGTTTTTACTTGAAATGAGATTGACAAATAAATTTTCACTATTGAGGTCAAAGTTACTTAGAATTTCACGAGCCTTAGTGTACAATAATTGTCTATGCTCATCATTCTTTGTACAAGTTAAAAGGAAATGACATTCATCCTCTATATGTTTACAGGTATTGCATAATCTTTCCTCTCTAGGTTTTGGTTTTGGCTTTGCATGTCTTCCGGTCTCAATCGCCAATCAATGAGAACTCATTCGAAATCTACTTATCGCCAATCTATACTTTTTATTATCTAATTTTAAATATAATTCAATTCTAAAATCTTTTTTGAACAATTTATACGTTCTCAGTATAGGATAAATGTTCAAGTCATTTTTCCATTTTTCTACAAATAATACCTTCAACTTCTTTTCTACCATGCTCACTAGATTGTCAGTATTCATAAAAGAGCCATATGACATGATTCGTAATTGAAATCCATACTGATAAAAACAGGAAAATGTCAATATCTGAATGCTTAAGTTTGACATCTTCTCTTTCTGCTACAGTACTTTACATGTAAAATAGACCGTTTGTAATCTAGAAAAGAAACTTTGTTTTCAAAAGCACTGTCGGTATTGAACTTCCCTGGTGGGATGTATAGATTAGGAAATAAAGAAAGTATGGCATAAAAGAGTCACATGCAGATCTCTGCTTCAAAAAAATCAAGTACATATATCAGGAATTGTTGAACCCTTATAAGCTTCTACTTATTTGCCATGTTCATTTTCTTTGTTTGGATAATATGCCCAATATGGTGTCATCCCCATCTGTATCTGTTCGAAAATAAATTAATGAAAAAAAGCTTCCCTCTACAGATTTTTAAGTATACTGTTGTCTTTGTTTACTTGTAGGTGAAGAAGGTCATGAACCAGGTCTTCCACAGTGTTAAGACAGAATTCAAACCTGATCAGACATTTACTGGGCAACAGGTTGTGCAGTCTATTCTACAGACAATCAAGGTAAGCATTCAAACCTGACCAGACATTCACTGGGCAACAGGTTGTGCAGTCTATTCTACAGACAATCAAGGTAAGCATTCAAACCTGACTAGACATTTACTGGGCAACAGGTTGTGCAGTCTCTTCTACAGACAATCAAGGTAAGCATTCAAACCTGACTAGACATTTACTGGGCAACAGGTTGTGCAGTCTATTCTACAGACAATCAAGGTAAGCATTCAAACCTGACTAGACATTTACTGGGCAACAGGTTGTGCAGTCTATTCTACAGACAATCAAGGTAAGCATTCAAACCTGATCAGACATTTACTGGGCAACAGGTTGTGCAGTCTATTCTACAGACAATCAAGGTGAGCATTCAAACCTGACCAGACATTTACTGGGCAACAGGTTGTGCAGTCTATTCTACAGACAATCAATGTGAGCATTCAAGCCTGACCAGACATTTACTGGGCAACAGGTTGTGCAGTCTATTCTACAGACAATCAAGGTAAGCATTCAAACCTGATCAGACATTTACTGGTCAACAGGTTGTGCAGTCTATTCTCCAGACAATCAAGGTAAGCATTCAAACCTGACCAGACATTTACTGGTCAACAGGTTGTGCAGTCTATTCTACAGACAATCAAGGTAAGCATTCAAACCTGATCAGACATTTACTGGGCAACAGGTTGTGCAGTCTATTCTACAGACAATCAAGGTAAGCATTCAAACCTGACCAGACATTTACTGGTCAACAGGTTGTGCAGTCTATTCTACAGACAATCAAGGTAAGCATTCAAACCTGACCAGACATTTACTGGGCAGCAGGTTGTGCAGTCTATTCTACAGACAATCAAGGTAAGCATTCAAACCTGACCAGACATTTACTGGGCAACAGGTTGTGCAGTCTATTCTACAGACAATCAAGGTAAGCATTCAAACCTCATCAGACATTCACTGGCCAACATGTTGTGCAGTCTATTCTACAGATAATCAAGGTAAGCATTCAAACCTGACCAGACATTTACTGGGCAACAGGTTGTGCAGTCTATTCTACAGACAATCAAGGTAAGCATTCAAACCTGATCAGACATTTACTGGGCAACAGGTTGTGCAGTCTATTCTACAGACAATCAAGGTAAGCATTCAAACCTGACCAGACATTTACTGGGCAGCAGGTTGTGCAGTCTATTCTACAGACAATCAAGGTAAGCATTCAAACCTGACCAGACATTTACTGGGCAACAGGTTGTGCAGTCTATTCTACAGACAATCAAGGTAAGCATTCAAACCTGATCAGACATTTACTGGGCAACAGGTTGTGCAGTCTATTCTACAGACAATCAAGGTAAGCATTCAAACCTGACTAGACATTTACTGGGCAACAGGTTGTGCAGTCTCTTCTACAGACAATCAAGGTAAGCATTCAAACCTGACTAGACATTTACTGGGCAACAGGTTGTGCAGTCTATTCTACAGACAATCAAGGTAAGCATTCAAACCTGACTAGACATTTACTGGGCAACAGGTTGTGCAGTCTATTCTACAGACAATCAAGGTAAGCATTCAAACCTGACCAGACATTTACTGGGCAACAGGTTGTGCAGTCTATTCTACAGACAATCAATGTGAGCATTCAAGCCTGACCAGACATTTACTGGGCAACAGGTTGTGCAGTCTATTCTACAGACAATCAAGGTAAGCATTCAAACCTGACCAGACATTTACTGGGCAACAGGTTGTGCAGTCTATTCTACAGACAATCAAGGTAAGCATTCAAACCTGATCAGACATTTACTGGGCAACAGGTTGTGCAGTCTATTCTACAGACAATCAAGGTGAGCATTCAAACCTGACCAGACATTTACTGGGCAACAGGTTGTGCAGTCTATTCTACAGACAATCAATGTGAGCATTCAAGCCTGACCAGACATTTACTGGGCAACAGGTTGTGCAGTCTATTCTACAGACAATCAAGGTAAGCATTCAAACCTGACTAGACATTTACTGGTCAACAGGTTGTGCAGTCTCTTCTACAGACAATCAAGGTAAGCATTCAAACCTGACTAGACATTTACTGGGCAACAGGTTGTGCAGTCTATTCTACAGACAATCAGGGTACTATTGATATGAATACTCTAACCCTCTCAACCATTTATTTCTTTGTGATATTCCGAATTCAACTATTTTCAGATGTTGAAATATGATTCAAATGAAATTTCATTAATTGTAACACTTAACCTTCTGCACTCCGACTTATTTCAGCAAATATATCCCACGCATCTGACTTATTTTTCAAAAATGATATGCCTGGACTAAATAATTAATATCTCAATAACTACTGAATGAATCTGGATAAAATTTTCACAAAGGGAAGATACACTAGCGTGGCTCATGAGAAAAATGTTCTCATGAATTTTTTTCGTACATAAACACGACTGGGCTTGAATATACCATGAATACTCCTCCAGAATCCGCCGTTTCGCCCCTGGGGAGATTCAACGTCTGGTCAGAATCCAAAACTGAATTTGCAGAGATCGAATGTTCTTCTTTTCAGTTCAGAAAATATTCTAGTTTCTATTTTCGATGACCATTATCGGCTTCCAAGAGCCTAAAGAGCTCGAAATCGCAATCCATTTCCTCCACATTTTCGTTGTGATCGTATTTGGCCGTCATTTTGTACGATTTGTTCACTAAAAACGACTTAAACACTGTTGAATTGTTGAATTGAGAAATATTTTTCGAAACATCGCCATTTCTAGGTCAACAGGAAGTCACCTACTAAGGACTGAATAAATCGGGCAATCTAATTGGATCATAAGAACGGCGGGAAAAAGTAAAGTTTTCAAAAGTTAGATTTGTGTCGTCCGGATCCGCCGGTGGATTCTGGGGGTAGTTTTGAATGGGCGGACGCGGTCGCCGGTGGTCTGCTAAAGGTTAAAATATTAGTAGTTATATTTGCATCTTTAACCATATTATATGGAATTAAAGTGAATCGTTACTAATTGAAAACAAATTGCTATTTTATAGATTATAAATAATAATTAATTATTAATTTTGTAGTCTACACAATGTATCTCCAACCTTGTCTTTTCCCCACACTGTCCAAAAATAATTTAGAAAAATGCTGTGTTTATTGTGATGAGATTTTGTTTTGTGTATGGATTTGCCACATGTTCTTCATTTAAACTCCCATGTCCAACTTTTCAATCAAAATTTACCTTAATAGAGGAGAATTTTAAAATGACAGCCTTTCTATTTTTTTTTTTTTTTCATACATTTCTATTGTTTTTAAATCAAATTGCAGGAAACAACACTGAGACTTACTCAGCAAAAAGATACAGAGGAACAAGAAGAGGAGGAAAGTGAAGAAGAAGAATCTGAAGAGGAAGAAGAAGAAGATAAAAAAGTCCCAGAGAAAATAGTTCCAGTGAAGGTAGAAGCTGTTCGTGCAGTCCAAAGTTCTGCAGGTAAAAAATATGAAATATTCAGGAAAAAATTATGTTTTTATTATATTTATGGAGGATATATGATTTTGGATAGAGTACCAATACTTAGACAATACCAATGCTTATACAATATCAATGCTTATACAATATCAAATTAGTAAACACATGGACTGGAGTATTGATTTTATGGTAGATGGTCCATTATCCATCCATGCAATAATTCCTTTAAATTCTCCTACTTTGTACTTCATGCGTTTTAGTGTAGTTTTTTTTCCGCAATTTCGTCAATCACTTTGTAATTCATGATTGCACAATTACAAGTGGATATGTTACATGTTGGTACATTATTTATGACTTGTTTTGCAGCTCCCAAAGTTGTAGAAGATGTGATAGAGGCCCCTGTTACTATGGTAACCACATCATCAACAGGAGGTAGAGGGAACCCTATGTATGCTGCTGAGCTTCAGAGAGCTGGTGGGTAAAAATATAGTTCACATTACCTTTTAAACTGACATTTGATATCATCTTTTAAACTGCCATCACAAGGAAACGTCATAAGGTTCAGACAGTGCTTCTTTAAAATGGCAAAAAGACATTAAAAAGACATTAAATCTTTATTTTTTTACTTCAGCTGAAGAAGCCAGTAAACTTAAAGAAACTGAAGTGAAAGTAACTGCTGAGAAACCACTTGAACAACCAGGTATGTTGGGGTTAACTCTAAATTAAGGATCTTATTTGTATATTGAAGTCTTTGGTTTATATATAGAGTTAATCCTGTATATAGTGAACACCTATGGAGCCACAAAAAGTCACGTTTTCATCACAGGGGGCAATTTTATACAGAAGTCAGTGGAGTATGCTGAGAAGAGGTGTTCACTTGACACAGGTGTTCACTAGAGAGAAGTGTTCATTAAAGACAGGTTTTACTGTTGTGATTATGTCATAGAGTATTGTATGTTGGATTTATTCTGGGAAAGATATCATATCAAAGGAGGAACTCAATATACAATCCTGACTGAGAGATGGCCTCTTTGTACCATGATCATTTTGATATTTAGAATAGAAATAAGGCCATAAGAAGTAGGTTATTTGTTTTGGGTCATGGCAAAATCCAAATCATGCAAGGGTACAAGGAAAACAAACACAAACTCAAGAAAAAACACAAACTTGTTTATGGGCATATAAAGGGATGACATGCCAATTTGCAGTGATTACAAACACATATCTATACATCCTATACAATACATTTAAGCATAGCTATTATTCAAGGGTACAAAATAAGAAAATACACAGTGTATGCTAAAGTAATCAATAACACTGTCAATTTTGACGCACATCAAATGATCTGCCATTTCGTCCGATTCTGATTGAATGAAATGCGATGGTACTTCCAAACCCTTGTAATTGCTATTTGGATGTGTTTGTTTTTTCTGATTTACTCAAAATCGTGCAAGCAAGGGGACGCAAAACAGAGAATGTACTTCTTATGGCCTAAGCAAATTACGCACTCAATGGTAAATGAAAATCTATCAAAGTGGAACATCAGAAGTGGAATGCTGTTTTGAGGAAGCAATAGTATTCCACTAGTACACACATTTTACTGTATTACATCCATGCATTGTGTTACAGTTATAGTTGAAGAGAGATATACAGTTTATCAAAGTCATGTATTGTTTTACAGTAATGGTTGAAGAAGTGATCGAGGCCCCTATGACAGTAGCCAGTGGTTATTCAACAGGGGGAGGGGGTGGTAATCCATATTATGCCGCCAAGCTTGATAAAGGTATTATGGTTTTTCAGTTTCTACAAAAATCAAGCGTCTTAAGTTTATCTCAAATTATATTATGTTGATAATTAAATGTTTATGTATTTGTATATTAGTCCTTGATCTGGACCCTCTGAAAAAAAGTTTTGTTGTCCGGTACTTTCCCACATAAAATGATTGTACCGTTTGAAAGAACAGACTTCCCTCTTAAAGAAAACACCTCTTCTATTGATGTAAACAGGGGCAAAAGGCACCAAAACGGGGTTAGACAAGGTGGCATTCTGAAGTCTCACTTTCTTGTCATCAAGATTCCAGGTAAACCATCAGACGGATTTACTTCAAATTTTCACACATGTTACATGGTAAGAAGTTCTAGAGCTGATTAACTTTGCAGCAGCCATCTTGCATTCTGGCGGCCATCTTGGAATTTTTTTCAGATAAATATTGTCATCGCGATTTCACAAAAACCACATAACAGATGTACTTCAAATGTTCACACATGTTACATGTTAAAAAGTCCTAGACCTCATTATTTTTTCGGCGGTCATCTTGCATTCTGGCAGCCATCTTGGAAGTTTTAAGATAAATCTTGTCATCACTATTTCAGGAAATCCAAACGAATTTACTTCAAATTTCCACACATGTTACATGGTAAGAAAATATAGAGGTGAATAACTTTTCGGCAGCCATCTTGCATTCTGGTGGCCATCTTGGAAATTTTGGGATAAATCTTGTCATCGTGATTCCAGGAAAACAACCTAACAGATTAACTTCAAATTTTCACACATGTTACATGGTATGAAGTTCTAGAGCTGATTAACTTTTCAGTGGCCATCTTGCATTCTGGCAGCCATTTTGGAAGGTTTATAGATAAATCTTGTAATCACGATTCCAGAAAAAACACTTCACAGTTTTACTTCGAATTTTCACACATGTTACAAGGTATGAAGTTCTAGAGCCGACTAATTTTTCGGTGGCCATGTTGCATTCCGTCGGCCATCTTGGAAGTTTTTAGATAAATCTTGTCATCACGATTCCATGAAAACCACGTAACAGTTTTACTTCAAATTTTCACACATGTTACATGGTAAGAAGTTATAGAGCTGATTAACTTTCCGATAGCCATCTTGCATTCTGGCGGCCATCTCGGAAGTTTGTAGATAAATCTTGTCATCACGATTCCAGAAAAACCACTTTACAGATTTGCTTCAAATTTTCACACTTTATACATTTACATTCACAATGGTCCCTTCCTGGAATATTTTTTAGGTTTTATGACTGTTAAATTCTATAGTCTTGTTAAGACCACTTTATAAACAGGTTTATTATTACTTTTATGACTGTTAAATTATATAGTCTAGTTAACAGGTTTATTATTACTGGTGTAACTAACACAACAACAAAAAATTTAATTAATTTATTTGATTTTATATACTAGTACAGGGTGTCCTGAAAGTAAAGATACAAATGCTCTAATTTCATTAGATTTACCTGTTGTGAGATGAAATTGCTACAGATTGTAGAATGACATTGTAACAATTTATCCTGAAACTGTCATGACAAATTGTTTCAAAATAAATAAAAAGTTATGGTTGTTATGGTAACAGGAGTCACGGGTATGTGGAGCAACGTCACAATTATGTTTTATAATTCCTTTCTCCTGTTCATATCATCTTGACGCTCCGTCGTCTGTTACAATTATGCATCAAATTATGTTCCACAGCAGCAAAGGGATTAGTACTGTAACATTATTTAATCGTTTGACATTACTACTGTTATCCAGTATTATGTATTTTCCACCTTTATCTAAACATTCTTGATGCATTTTGACCTGAGATTCAAAGACCTGACAAAACCTTTGCTGTCAGTCTCTAAGATTGCTGATAACATTGGCTTCCAGCCGAGTCTCATTTTTATGTTGAACTTCTCACAAATATTGCTTTAACATATTCATTAATGTAGAAGTCCAATGGGACATTATCAGGGAAATATGGGCCATTGTACAAAAAAGGTAAATGTCAAGACATTCAATTGTAAGATTTGTTTTCTTTACTTTGTGCATTGGAGCATTGCCTGTGGAGGTGCACTATTGACTTTCCTATTAATCCAGGGATCCTTTTTCTGAGCACTTATATACCCCTTTTCTTTGATTATACTTGTGACATTACATAGTTCTGATGTATCAATGATATCGTTATACTAAAGAGAATACTATGGCAGCAAGAATACAATATTGAACAAAGAAAAAAACTGACAAGAAATACAATAATAAACACTATTTAAAATGGTTAGATTTTAGCAATTTATCACAATTTAGCGACATCCTTGAACTGCTCTACATACCCCTCACCACCGTAACCATGACAACCATAACTTAAACACATTTAGACTATATGTTATAAAAGTTGGTAGATGTATTGTAATGTAGTTGTTCTTTAATCTGTAGCGATTTCATTACAAAAAGTCTAAATCTCTTAAAATTAGAATATTTGTATCTTTACTTTCCGGACACCCTGTAACATGAAATTATTTTTTCTTTTCGATAAAACATTGCTTATTAGAAATATATTTAGTTGAAAACTTAAGGTAAACAATCAGTTCTTCTATCACAAAGTTTAATTATTTTGGTTCAGTAGATTTTTCTATACATTATTTTTATGTCACCACCACTAGTGATTGGGTGACATATTGTAATAGCTTCGAACGTTTATCTTGACACTGTTCAGTCGTTAATGTGTACTGTATACTTAACAAGGTGTGGTGACATTTTGCATGTTTCTGCATCGTCACTACTATTGAAAACTTTTCTTGATATTGTAGCAGTGTTTTTTAAGTTCTTTTTGTTGGTACAATTAGTTTCCAAACCCTATACTTATATCGATCTGACACACAGTTTTAGTGCAGGTTTAAGTGATTTTTGTTGATTATTAAACGCAAAGAGCACATGTGTCTCGAACTCGCAACATTGTGGATACAGAGCCCATTCACATAGTTTGACATGCTGGTCCTCTGAACCAGCTCGTTAGTTAATATCTGACTAAGAGGCAGCTTGCTTTCCCGATGAAGAAAAGTTATCTGCAGCTTTTATGAGTACTATAGTATCTACAACTATTTTTGATCTTATGAGTATTGGATATCATTATTTTCAATTTTTCTTCAACATGTATTTAAATGACTTCAGTATGAATGGAATGTCCCTCGGAATTGTGGTCTTTGATGAGGAATTGGTCATTGAACGGTGTGGATGCTGTTTATTCCCATATTAGATTATTGTCTTGGGATATTCAGGTTTGATTTTTGTTTGCCAGTTTTACACTTTACAGTTTGCTTTTCCCACTAGGTTTTTATTATTATTATTATATCTTTTATCGACTCTTTAGATGTCATATCATGACATATTAGTCACTTAGGTAGAGCAGTTCTTCCCATAGTCGAGTTGAAGAACTGGTATCTTTATCCTGGCTAGAACCATAGACAATTCTAGCCAGCGCCAGCCTTTTATCGAGTCAGCAGCACTCTAGTAATCGCCGGTATAGGTCAGCAGTCATAGGTCAAAGACAAATCACAAGAAGTGCTGTGACCTGGGTTTGAACCCAAGACCTCTACTTTTTCAGCATGAAGCCAGACTTCCTGCTTTTCAGACCAATGCCTTAACCACTAGGCCAACCCGGCAAATACGTGCTTTACACTTTTTTCCTTTCTCATTTGTCATTTTTTATATTTAGTAAGGATATGATAAGCAGGTCTCTCCTTCTGTGTGATCACCTGTCCAGAAGATAATTCAACTGCATGAAGAACATTCCGTTGACATGATGCACAGTGAAAGGTTTTCCACACATTTACATTTTCGTTTAAAAGAGCTTTAATTCCGTTATATACTCAGATCAAGGCCAATTTATTTAGCATACATTTCGCTCTCAAAAATCGCTGTGCAATAATGGATTTCAAAGAAATGTTTGATGTTTTCAATAATCTTTTTTCTTTTTGATGAAATGTAGTTATTTATTCTAAAAATCAATCGATGTCATACACAAAATGCATTTAAGTGGTATAAAGTACAGAAGCAGAGTAAAAATATGTATTTTAGAATATCACCATGTGTTACCCCATTGTAGCGCCTCTTGCCCATGTTTCTATCAATATAAAACATGATATCATACACCAAATATGCATTTATGTTAAATTATGTGGTTTAAAATACAGAAAAATAGATAACATTCTCCTTAGAATACCACCTTGTGTAACCCCACTTTACTGCCTTTTGCCCCTGTTTATATCAATATAAAAGGTAGCATGTAACCTTCCTTGTAACATGTGTAAAAGTTTCAAGAAAATCAGTAAAGTGGTTTTCCTGGAATCACAATGACAAGATTTATCCAAAAAACTTCCAAGATGGCCGCCAGAATGCAAGATGGCCACCGAAAGGTTAATTAGCTCTAGAACTTCTTACCATGAAATATGTGTGAAAATTTGAAGTAAATCCGTTTGGTTTTCCTGAAATCGTGATGACAAGATTTATCTTTAAACTTCCAAGATGGCTGCCAGAATGCAAGATGGCCACCGAAAAAAAATAATGAGGTCTAGGACTTTAACCATGTTACATGTGTGAACATTTGAAGTACATCTGTTATGTGGTTTTTGTGGAATCGCGATGACAATATTTATCTGAAAAAAATTCCAAGATGGCCGCCAGAATGCAAGATGGCCACCGCAAAGTTAATCAGCTCTAGAACTTCTTACCATGTAACATGTGTGAAAATTTGAAGTAAATCCGTCTAATGGTTTACCTGGAATCGTGATGACAAGAAAGTGAGACTTCAGAATGCCACCTTGTCTAACCCCGTTTTGGTGCCTTTTGCCCCTGTTTACATCAATAGAAGAGGTGTTTTCTTTAAGAGGGAAGTCTGTTCTTTCAAACGGTACAATCATTTTATGTGGGAAAGTACCGGACAACAAAACCCCTTTTCTAGAGCCCTTTTGGAAATCAGATCGGGGACTAAACTTGATGATGATACTACATACTAAGTGTACACATTTCTGGATATGTGTGTATTATATGTAAACATTTGTGATAGTATTTCAAGTGTACACATATTTCCAGATATTCTTGTTTCCAAGTCAGTTATAGATACATGTTATTCTAGTGCACATAGTGATTTAATATTTTGAGTATTGTTTCATTTTAGCGAGAGAAGACAGCATTCCATCACCAGAATCCATCGAGTCAACAAGCGCAAAGCCTGATATTGTTGAAGAACCCATTGCTGCCCCAGTAGTTGCAAGTTCAACTAGCGCACCTAAAATAGAAAATATTGAACCTCCGATGATAGTAAAAGACAGTACTTCAACTGGTGGAAAAGGCAACCCATCATACCTAGCAGAACTTCAAGGTTCCAAAAAAGTCGAGGAGCCTTTAGCTGCGCCAGTAGTTGCAAGTTCAACTAGCGCACCTAAAAAAGAAAATATTGAACCTCCAATGATTGTTAAGGACAGTACTTCAACTGGTGGAAAAGGCAACCCATCGTACCTTGCCGAACTTCAAGATTCCAAGAAAGTTGAGGAGCCTTTAGCTGCGCCAGTAGTTGCAAGTTCAACAAGCGCACCTAAAATAGAAAATATTGAACCTCCAATGATTGTAAAGGACAGTACTTCAACTGGTGGTAAAGGTAACCCATCGTACCTAGCAGAACTTCAAGATTCCAAGAAAGTCGAGGAACCATTAGCTGCGCCCGTAGTTGCAAGTTCAACTAGTGCTCCTAAAATAGAAAACATTGAACCTCCAATGATAGTTAAGGACAGTACTTCAACTGGTGGAAAAGGCAACCCATCGTACCTAGCAGAACTTCAAGATTCCAAGAAAGTCGAGGAACCATTAGCTGCGCCCGTAGTTGCAAGTACAACTAGTGCACCTAAAATAGAAAATATTGAACCTCCAATGAAAGTTAAGGACAGTACTTCAACTGGTGGAAAAGGTAACCCATCGTACCTAGCAGAACTTCAAGATTCCAAGAAAGTTGAGGAACCATTAGCTGCGCCCGTAGTTGCAAGTTCAACAAGCGCACCTAAAAAAGAAAATATTGAACCTCCAATGAAAGTTAAGGACAGTACTTCAACTGGTGGAAAAGGTAACCCATCGTACCTAGCAGAACTTCAAGGTTCTAAGAAAGTTGAAGAGACAATGGTTGAGGCTCCAATCAATGTGGTCAGTTCTGGAGTCAGTAGTCAAAGTGGAAATTCCTCATATCTGAAGGAGCTACAAAACACAGGTATACATATACTTGTTATCAATGTCAGAGTTTTGTACTGTACCTTGATCTATATTCTAAGAGCATATGCACAGTATCCTGGCCTGACCAAAACCACCACTGCCATCTATTTATCCATCTTTATAGCAAGTCCTCTATTGAAAAGGTACCTTGTAAAGAAATTCATGAAAAATTGGCATATTTTTTGACTTTATGTTACAGACAAGAAGGATGAACTTGAACCACCAATCAAAGTGCAGAAAACAGAGACGGTAGAATCAGTCATAGAACCTCCAATAGGTGTCACTCCTGCACCATCCACTGGGGGAGGAGGCAACCCAATATATGCGTCTAAGCTCCAGGCAGAACCTAAAGCGAACAAAGGTAGTATGGTTGTTGGAATCATAAAGTTGAATACACATATTAAAATGTTGTAAGGCAAATAATGATTTGTCAGTTTTACTTAACTGGCTTGTCAAATTGATTGAAAATCTAGCATCTCAGACTTACATAGTGGCATGGCTTATTTACTTATTTCAAATGTACATTATGGCATGTCACATTTATATAGCAGCATGGCTTACATACTGGCATATTAAATGTCTGGCTCACATCATCTGGTATGCAAAAAAGCACTTATCCATGTATCCAGTTTCTACCCACCCTGGTTTGTGTTACAGTTACAACCAGAGTTGTACATATACACGGTGCATTCCAGTATATCCAGTGCAAATTTTCTGCAAATTCTGGCATGTCTAAAATCAAATACACATCCATGTATGTGAAAAGAACATAGCGGTTGTGTGCATAATAGCATGGCTTGTAGTTGTAGAGGAATCAGTGGTATCAGCCATAGAAGAACCTGCTATGAGTGTGACTTCCACCTCTACTGGGGGTGGCGGTGGGAACCCTTTGTATGCTGCAGAGCTACAGAAATCTGATAAAGAAATGAGAGGTAAGTGTGGTGTTCTAACCACCAAGCTTTGTCAATGTATTTTGTCTGTATAGTGTTTTTGAATACCTATCTTAATTGAGTTTGTACATTCCGTATCAAAATCATATGATTTGTCTCCTGCTAATCTCCTGCTCATCTTTGTATATGAAAAAAAGCGGTTATGTACATAATAACACAGCTATTATACTAAACCAAGCTTCAAAATTTTAACTGCTATTTTGAACACCTGTCTGCCTATTGTGAACACCTACCTAAAGTAAACACCTTGAAATGTAAACACTTTTCTTGTCATATTACATTAATTTTTGTGCTTATAAAGAAATTAAATGTAAAGAAATTACATTCTGGGTAAATTTTAAGGTGGCCATTTTGGATTTTCCGTCCTAAAATCTTCACTTTCAAGACTTGTCTACAGGTTTTCAGCCAAACCATTTGAGGGATTCATCTGAAATTTTCAGGGATGTTTCTATAATTCAAAGTCAAGAACTGATTAGTTTTTGGGCATTCTGTGGAAAATTTTAAGGTGGCCATTTTGGATTTTCCGTCCTAAAATCTTTACTTTCAAGACTTGTCTACAGGTTTCCAGCCAAACCTTTTGAGGGATTCATCTGAAATTTTCAGGGATGTTTCTACATATCAACGTCAAGAACTGATTAGTTTTTGGGCATTCTGGGTAAATTTTAAGGTGGCCATTTTGGATTTTCTGTCCTAAAATCTTCACTTTCAAGACCTGTCTACAGATTTTCAGCCAAACCATTTGAGGGATTCATCTGAAATTTTCAGGGATGTTTCTACATATCAACGTCAAGAACTGATTGGTTTTTGGGCATTCTGGGTAAATTTTAAGGTGGCCATTTTGGATTTTACATCCTAAAATCTTCACTTTCAAGACTTGTCTACAGGTTTCCAGCCAAACCATTTGAGGGATTCATCTGAAATTATCAGGGATGTTTCTACATATCAACGTCAAGAACTGATTAGTTTTTTGGCATTCTGGGTAAATGTTAAGGCTGCCATTTTAGATTTTCCGTCCTAAAATCTTGTCTATCGAGGCTTGTCTACAGGTTTCCAGCCAAACCGTTCAAACTTTTACATATGTTACACAGTGATAAGTTCTAGAGCTGATTAACTTTTCTGTGGCCATCTTGCTTTCTTGGTCAACAAGATCACAATGCTGTGTTTTAGGTACGATATTGTTCACGTCTGTGCCTTGTTAAATATCTCACAATTTTTAGAGATGAAACATGTTTCCTCAATTTCAATCTGAATCTCAAGATAAAATACCTCTAATATAGTACATTTAATATGGTGGTCACTTTTAGCTCATTCCGAATGTGTTCACATGGGACAGGTTTTGTTGTAGTTTGTGAAATAATATAATGATTTAACAAGGCAATATATATTTTACACATAAAAATAAGGTAAGAAGACTGGAAGGAATTTTTTACCTGCTTTTTTTAATGTGCCTATCTTAAAATGAAAAAATTATACATTTGATTTATGAACTGATGCTTGTGCAAAGATAAATTCAAAGCATAAACTAACACTTAATCTGGTTGTTGATTAGAGAGTTTGAGAGCTGTGGTGGAGAATATCATAATGGCTGAGGAACAGGTCGCAGATAAGCCAGGTATAAAGGGCGGAGTGGTGGAAGGGGAGGTTATAAGGAATACGGGGAGGTTATAAGGAATATGGGGAGGTTATAAGGAATACGGGGAGGTTATTATAAGAGAAAAGAGATTATTCTACCTCATTCTGAAAATGCATGATTCCTCAATTTTCTCTTGTTGGATGCTTTATTGTTCCAATTATTATAAGCACATTTTTTTGGCATACTGTTGGTGATGGGAGTATAAGCAATATGGGGAAAACATGCAGAAAACAGCATATCATAAAAATCTGAAAACACATGGTGAAGGGAATGCTTGAACCAAAATGACGGCCCAAATGCATATTAGATGTCCTGGTTTATAGGTTTATATTCTTATCCTTCCCTACATGGTAAATATATTTTATATATCCATCTGAGGTGTTAAACAGTTGATACCCAACTAATCTTGGCCATGGACATAAAATATAGGTCAAAATTATATATCAATGGAGTAAGTAGGGAGATAGGTTCATGATTTTGGTAATTTCTTCTAACTCTTCAGGTGAGTTGTGGGTGTAATCAACTTTACTGTCCATAATACAAGTGTATAATAAAATATAATGAGTTAAGAATCAGCACATCTACATGTACTGATGTAATTGTGTTTAACTCTTTTACTTGTCAGTTGTAACCATCTATAATTTTACACTTTTGAATCCCTTGTAAAAACCATGTTAATGACGTTCTGTACTGTCACAATATTTTAATCTTGGTTCAATTTTTTTCAGATCTGTCTCAATTTTAATCAAAAATGCTCAGAAATTCAACAAAATTCCTGCAAAATTCTGCCTTTTCACTTGCAGAATTCATCATTTCAACTTGCTGAAAATAAGGAGGAGTGATTAAAATATGTTTGTTAAATTTAACATAATTTCAAAGAAGAAAATAAATAAACAAAACAATGTTTGTTCTTCAGCTGAATCTAGTCAAAAAACAGACGCCAAGAAAGATGATTCCAAGAAAGACGATTCCAAAAGTAAGAAGGCCGAGACAACAAAGTCAGACAAGACAGATGGTGACAAGAAACAGGATGACAAAAAGAAAGATGACAAGAAAAAGGATGACAAAAAAGCTGCAATAGATTTCCTGAAGGGTGTACCTCCACCATTGTTTGGAGACGACTCAGATGATGATAGGTGAATTTCTTGAATTTATATTTTTGTTTTTTCTGATTTTATTTTTTGAGAATCATTACATGCTATGCAAATCAGTAGCAAATCAAATTACCATAGCAACTGTAAAATGTTAACTTGTAGTCGTATATACATGAAAACATTATTGTTTTAGTTAGATATGTTTGTGGAAAACTTTTTGAATGACCCTTATACATTACGAGGAGAAAAATACAGTAAGACAAATTGATATTCAGGTAAAATCCTGTATAATGAAACTGTTTTGTGGAACTGCTTGTCTTCAAACTGTGATTTGAAATCACCTGAAGTATCGACATCTTTGTGTTTTGTCATTCTAATACCTTTTATACAAACATGTATTTGGTTCATAATTACAAAAAAACTAATTACCAAAGTTGATACTTAAAAATGAAGTTTGATATACATGTTAACTCCTTTTTCTCTTAAAATAAATGTTTAAAAATTCAATTGTAAAAATCTCTAAAACAACCTCACCTCTTAAGGTCCAAATCTGCACCAATTTCAAAATCATTCTTGTTCCATATTTTATCAATTTCAAAAGTTTTTTATTTTTAATTTCTTTAGTCCTCTATTTGGCACACCTGCCAAATCCTCAACTGAGAAGTCGGAGAAGAAACCTGAAAAATCCTCTGCTGCCAACAGTTCAAAGAAACCAAATGATAAGAAGTCCGAAAAGAAGAATGAGGATGATGTAAGTGTATTTGTACTAATTGTAGCATGAGTAAAGGATTTAAGCCCTGTACTCAATGCATTGTGTACCGAATCATTCCTCTAATGTGTTGTTTTCAAATCTTTGCATGATCGCATAGCCGAAGTGCAAAGTTTAGGAAACAATGCTTGAGTGGAACTGCACTTTGTTAATATTCTGTTCTTAGTTTCAGAGAGCATTGAAAGAACATATAACTCTCTTCTAACTTTGCGATAAGATTTGAATCGAATTAGTTTTTCATTACTGAATTCAGTAATCTATTATTTTCTTCTGATTAACATAGTATAAGTACATGTATATTCATTCCACTTATATTTTACAAGATTATTTAATTAACACTTTCTGAGAAAAAAATATTTAAACATGTAAAGTAATTTTTATTCTGCAGTATTAATTTCTATGATTTTATTTTATTTATTTTTATACAATGCTCTCAGAAGAAAAAGGTTTGCGTTATATTGTATTTTACTTTAAATATCATTCTGAATTACTTCTTGCTATCGTTATTATTGTACTTGTTCATCTTTAACAACTACTTTGACTGGCTATGGGTTTCAGAGGAAATCCACAAGGAAATCGAAAGAAGTTAAATATGTGTTCTCATCCATGTAACTTTGGTAACAAAAGTTTGTAACTATGGTGACAACAGTTTGTAGCTATGGTGACAACAGTTTGTAGCTATGGTAACAATAGTTTGGGGTATAACAGTAGCTTAAGTAACTATAGTAGCATAAATTGTTGTTTAAAGCTTGGTGCCAGTTGATTTTTAATGTTTCTTTATCAGACACTGCATTTGAGATTTGGAATTTTGGTAACCATAACGTTGCTAAATTATTTGGCTTGACAGAAGTGGTATGACTTAAATAAGGGTTATGATGACATTGTCATTTCTTAATAAAATAAACTCCCCAAAGTATTGCATACATATAAAGTTCAATCGAAACATGTGCCGTTAAGAATAATATACACTGTACCTTGTTAAATTCTATATAATGCATTCCGATATTTATTTGGAACATTGACATAGGAAAATCTAAGTACTCTTCATTAAAAGACTGCCTTTTATTTCATATTTGGTTTTTCATAGAGACGCTTCTCGTGGAAAGAAAACTGACATATTCGGCCGTTATAACTCCCAAAGTATATCAGATGCCCTTATTCAGTTCTGTATGGTTAGCTAGGCCATCAATTTTGCACTATGTCATATCATTGATTTGTGGATTTATATTTTTCCAGGACCTGAAACCACAACCCCCTCCCCCATTGTTCGGAGATGATGATGACGACGATGATTTGGATTGGTTAAGTTAAATGTGACACTGATTCTGATTGGCTGGGCTAATTGTGATGCTCAGCTCTGATTCGTCAGGGATATCAACATGACAACTGATTGGCTGAGTTAATTTTGATGCTTAATTCTGATTGGCTGAGCTGATTTTGATGCTAGTTTTGATAAAGTATATCCAAGGGTCAAGGAAACAGTATAGCAACTATCTCAGACCCTACCTGCTGATGACGTATCCTGGAACAAATACATTAAAAGATGCCAAATAGGCTACTCTATTTGGTGATACTACAAAGTGAACAAAAATAATATATATTGACAATTGTCATAAATAAGGATATAATCTAATTGGATGTAACTGGTACATATCACTGGAGACTAATAAACAAATATTACATAAATCTGTATATTCAATGTTTTTGAAATATCGATGCTATATAATTTTGCTCATTGCAATTGGTGCCCATATATGGTATACTTAATACAAGATAATGTGATCATTCATTCCATCAAATATTTTTTGTATGCCCGTTGTATGTGTTCATATTTTGCATAGTACAACGTCTTTTGCTCATAACTGCTTCCAACCCATCATGAATATATTTTATGATGAGTTAAACGTGTTTTGTTAATTCTTGCTTCTGCTCAAGCAGTATTTCATGACTAAAAATCTGACATGGACGCATTTCAAAAAACTGATACACAGGAACAAGGTAGTCTATTAAAAAAAATGTCACTTACTACCAATTGATTTTTATGTCACCACCAAAAATGGTGACATGTTGTTATAGTCTCCACCTTTTTGTGGATGGCAGTTAGGGTTTGGTGGTTGGTGTTTGGTATTTGTAACAAATGTCAGGTGGTTACATTTTGCACGTTAATGCCTCATTTTCATTTTAATCCAATTTGTAGAAATTGTGAAGAGTTAGCATATTTTTGTTAGCAGGCTCTATTTTTGTTGTAAATAGTGTATATTTAGTCTGTATATTATGTCAATGTATACTGTATAATAACATATTACTACCGCATCATAAATGCTTCATAAATGTGATTTAGTCAAATATGCAATCATGATCAATGTATTATTTTTGTATTCAGCATAAATGGAAATGGGATAATTAAATAACAGCTATTTATATATAAATTGTAAGCAAAAACAACATTAATGCAATATTATGTAACACATTAAGTGTTGAAATAAAATATATATAAAATATTATGATTGTATTTTTCTGTTATTCGGATATTAAAGAGAGAATCAGATCTAGCTAGCAGTCCAACAAAAAATTGTTTCAATTTTAGAATATTTCTGGCTCATGTCATTCCTTTTCATGTCTATTTTCTTAAAATCACCAAATCAATAAGTGCATCTTTTATTTCAGGAAAACTAAAGATATTTACAATAACGTATTATTTTTCTTTAAGAATGGTTACTATTCTTATTATTTGGGAGAATTTAAACATTTTTACTTATTTTTGCACTTAGAATCCATTATAACTTCACCAATTTATAATATAGCGTGAATCTTTTGGGAGATATTGTATTTGAGATTGTAAGGAATAGATCGGTAGGTCAATTGTACATGTTGATTGTAATTTTTTCACCCCATAGATCTGATTCTGCCTTTAAGGTCCTTACTGTTGGAGTTTCGTTATGATTTATATGTTTGAGCAAAAACATTGTTTAAAATATCCTGGGGTTGAGCTAGGTTCAATTTTCAATTCTTTTTCAATTTCAATTTATTTCATAATTTTGGATATGATTTTATTAATTAGATGTATGTTAATGAGTGTAGTTGGTAAAAATGGCATTACGGACCAGTTGCCTTGTCATTTTCGTATACCTACTGAAATATCAACTGGTCCATTTAAACCTGTCAATGACCAGTAGACAGGTCCTTAGCTCAAGCCCTGATTACATCTGGAGAATGTGAATTTGAATATTTCATTTTTGGACATTTTATGAGATTTTAAAGGGTATAATTCTTGTGCTGGATTTCCAAATTCTCATTTAATATGTGGATTATTTACCTTTTAAAATTGAAGCAAGTGCCAATCTCATCCTTCAAGCTCAATATGGAAAGAATTAAAATATCCTTTGACCAAGAATGGCCCTAACGTGATCAAGGAAGGCCCTAACGTGACCAAGGATGGCCTTAATGTGACCAAGGATGGCCCTAACGTGACCAAGGATGGCCTTAATGTGACCAAGGATGGCCCTAACGTGACCAAGGATGGCCCTAACGTTTAATTTGGGGAAATTGAAGATGGCCGAGATTGCATGAGAGTTATGTAATGTAAACTGATCTCAATAATCTCTATTGAACCTACATATCATATTTCAAAACAAATCCCATTGCTCAGCCTTCATGAAATTGTGATACCATATTTCATGTTTTTCGTTCCCAGTAAAAAAAAAACTCAACACAACGCAGTTTTCCACTAAAATCCCAAGTTTTATTTCACATGTCTGGACTAGAGCTACACGAGCTAGTAACCATGGTTACAGTATAGATATAAACACACCCCATCATATAAAGAACTGATCTAGATCAAATACATTGTCTAGAACAAATTTACTACCTAACAGATAGAATATTGTGTCAATCCAACATGTAATGATAAAAATATATATAGGCTATAATTCAATCTCTAGATAAAAGATTTTCTATGTCATTATCTAGGCCAAATATCATTGATCTAGCGTAGTTCTTTACATAGATGAAGTTTAACTTAACTATAAAGAAATTCATCACCAAAACCAGCTTTTTCTATTTTTTACATGAGTTGAAATTTTATCAATTTAAGCCAATTTTTACATTATGGGTCAAATTTAAAAACCCATAAATTAACATATGAAACAAAACCTGTCTGCTATTCACATATGATTTCACAAATCATGACATCACCATGGGAATATTCCTCACTTAAAATTGTGCCACTTTGAAAAAATATGAAATTCCCGTCACCCGTAGCATCCAGCCTGAGGAAATATTCACCATGACGTAGGTCATGACGTCTCATTGGCATATTATCATGGGATAGATAGAGGCAATCAGAATCTAGAAGAACCCGCATGTGTTACTGTTTTATCAAAAAATAAAATTTGATTTGAGATGGTGGAGATCTTAAGATATTATTCAATTAAATACTGCGAAAATTACATGCTTATATATCAAACATACAACAAAGACCCATCCTTTAAAATAGCTTTATGCTAAAATCATAATTGAGAGAAAATACAACATGATCCGGTACATCTGGCAGGTACAGGGTGACCCAGTACACATAGACCATACAGGGTGATCGAGCACACATGGAAGGTACAGGGTCACCCAGTACATATACATCATACAGGGTGACCCAGTACATATAAACCATACAGGGTGATCAAGCACACATGGAGGGTACAGGGTGACCCAGTACATATAGAAGATACAGGGTGACCCAGTACATATAGACCATACAGGGTGATCGAGCACACATGGAAGGTACAGGGTCATCCAGTACATAAACATCATACAGGGTGACCCAGTACATATAAACCATACAGGGTGATCAAGCACACATGGAGGGTACAGGGTGACCCAGTACATATAGACCATACAGGGTGATCGAGCACACATGGAAGGTACAGGGTGACCCAGTACATATAGACCATACAGGGTGATCGAGCACACATGGAGGGTACAGGGTGACCCAGTACATATAGAAGTAAAGGGCGAGCCAGAACATATTTTACATTCTTCTAGATTCTGAGGCCATATATATGTATATTTTATTGCACATTAATTCACTAACAACACCATATCAGCTTTATTCAGTCAATCAGTTTACCCACTTATACATATATTCAGTCTCTATATATATATATATTATATTATATATAATTATGTTTTATATTCCCAGATTCCCATAGGTGTGAATGTATTGTACAAATTCTGAAGGATCACATGTGGATCATAAACCTGATTTATATGGTTGATTTGTTGAAATAATTAACAATGAATCAAATTCTAGTGTTGATAATGTCAAATGTCACAAAATGCAAATCCAATAAATGAAGTCCCATAATGCAATCAACAGAGATACACATACATGTTAATAATGGATCACATACATGTAAATTATAGATCACATACATGTAAATTATGGATCACATACTTGTAAATTATGGATCACAGACATGTAAATTATGGATCACAGACATGTAAATAATGCATAACATACATATAAATAATGTATTACATACATGTAAATAACGCATCAAATACATGTTAATAATGCATCACATACATGTTAATAATGGATCACATACATGTAAATTATGGATCACATACATGTTAATAATGGGTCACATACATGTAAATTATGGATCACATACATGTTAATAATGGATCACATACATGTAAATAATGCATCACATACATGTAAATAATGGATCAGACTGACTGATTGATACATGAGCTTCATTTGATGGATCCATAACCGAGTATTTACTTATATTTCTTAATATTTCCTAGCCTGGAAGAGTGAATATTTTAAGCAATATCATTGTACATATCAGTATCTAGTTCCCAGCTGTCCTTGATTCATGTTAATTCTAGACAAACTATATTGTGCTTTAACTTGTATAATATTTCCATTAACATGTATATATACAGCATATAGGCTAGCAGCAAAGTAAGGCAGCAAAGATTCTTGTAATAAAAATATATTTAGACATTTTCAGATTTATACATATTATTTCTTCAGCTGCTTTGGAGTTGAGAATGAAATGAAGCCATGTTACTATGGAAACAAAACCCTACTTTTTATCAGATATTACATATTTCCACTTTTACTTTGCTCATAATTTATTCATATGTTAACTCTTACTCAAAATTCACTCACATCCAAACTAATTTTTACCTAATAATTTAATTCTATTTAAAAAGATTTCTAATCATTTACTCAAATTTTACTCATAATTTTTAAAGGAATTACCTAATACATACTTTACTCAATTTGGAATGTTACAATTCGGAATTTCACTGTTTTTTATATCAGACAATGTATATTTGTCTAAAGTCTTTGATAACCAGTATCAATATATGACTCAAGAAATAAATAAAGAGAAAATATTTTGGGAACTTGACAAACACACTGGCCTTTCTATTTTTTAATGAGGGAATGAGGACATTTTTTTTATAGAAATGAATATCATACCCTAAAAGATACCAACAAGTATAGCTTCATAAGTTTCTATTGCATTAAAAGCAGTTGATTCACTCCTACTTTGTTTCCATATTTGGTCATATTTCCATATTTGGTCATGCATGCATTTCCATATTTGGACATGCAAAAATGTCCATATTCAAACGTCTCATGCCATTGGTAAAATTTGAAAAGTTCCCAAACTACAAGCAAGCTCAGAATATATTAATATTATAGGTTACGATCATTACAATTAATGTGAAGTGTAATTATTAAGTATAACTGATTCTTGTCACTATATATACACTAACATGTATGTACACTATACAATTACTGCTAATTTCTTGTCACAAATCTAAGCAATTTACCTAAACTCCTAAATAAATGCAATTTTGTGTATTTCAGACTAACATACTTGTGACCTGTTATTGCACCCTAACAACATCGTAAAACTCGAACTTCACCAAAATGAGTAAAATGCTTAGAAGTGTAAGATTGTATATATCTTTGGTAATTAATACCTATACTTTAAATATGGTGGAGCACACGATATAATGAAAACACAGAGCCAGAAGAAAATATGTTTCGAGTATTTTGAAAGTAAAATGTCTTCGAGATAGTTTTAAACAAGTTGAAAAGTCCATATGGTCACTAATCGTCCATATGATCACTAATCGACAAATGATTGAATTAAACATTTTTTTTAAATATGAAGTTTTTTGACAAATGATTTCCTGCACCTACATGTGTACATGAAAAGTTCTCGAGTATGTGCGACTATAAACAACAATACAATAGCCCACACAGTGTAATAAAGTGCATATGCTAGTATATAATATACCCAACTATATCATATACCACTTAACAAGCATCATTGTCTCCAACTTAAAATAAACAACCATAATAAACGAAAACATTTTGATTTACCTCAGGAACTAACATTTTTGTTGTAATTATGTCTCCTCGTTGAAAAATAATCATCAATTCATATATAATTTGAAAATAAATATTTAGGAAATTTTATATTTACATCGACTCAGTTGCGATTTAATTACGGCAACATAACAAAATGTAACAATATATACTGCATTACATATAGTCGCTCATTGCTTATTGCGCCATCTATAGTACATTCCCCACTATGAATCTTCCAAATTGCTGTAGTTTATTCACGTGAATTTGTCTGAACCATGGAAAACTCCAGAAAAGTTTATTTTTCAGTCCTCTCGTCTCCTGAAGGTGGCGCTGGTGCAGGGTCATCATTAAATAATGGATTTTTCACTTCCATATCTCCCGTCTGAAATTGAAAATCATGATTTGACAGTTCATACAGTGTTTAATAACAATGAGATATATATTTCATTTTGAATACAAAGGTAATGCATTAACACAAATTCTCATTTTTTAGGCTTTTAATCTAAGGCGTAGTGAGATTTTATTAAATAGCCTATGCCTGTATGAATCATTTTTTATGATCATTTAATTATAGACCTGTGGAATACAAATGAAACATTAATTAATAATTTATATTTTCCCCTAAGATATCCCTCATCTTTTAACTTTCAGTATGTTTTGCATGTTGTATACAAGTACACTATGTAGACACTATGCATCCAGAATTTCATACATAAACACCATTCCTGACAGCTATGCCATCTATTGAACCTGATAATATTAATACACTAAAATTGGCACCAATGTTCTTATTAAAAAACTATTGCAATTATTGCTTGTATATTTTGGTTAACTGTAAGGATAAACCTTGTTGAACAAAATTTTCTGAAACATGCAGCCAATTTTTAAAAATGAAAAATTCACTTGTTTTGAACCTCTTTTCCCCAAGTATATTGTGAAAAATGAGAAGTGTGTACTTACTGGTGCCAGCCCTGGGCATTCATAGACAGTGTAGTCTCCCTCTTCATTTTCCTCGTCACTGTCCTCATCACTAGCATCATGCTTCATCTCACCATTAGCCCTGAAAAACATAGAGAATATAATGTAATGTGAATGATATTTAAACATGTACTGTATATAACAGTACGCATCACTAGCATCATGCTTCATCTCACCATTAGCCCTGAAAAACAGAGAGGATACAATCGATGTAATGTAAAATATATATATATATATATACATGAACTGTATAAAACACACATAATATCATGAACATTTGCCCTGAAAAGAGATATATACAGCGCATATGTACTTTATATTACATAAAGGACAAAATAAAAATAGAAGATACATAATGCGGAGAATATAACATAGAGGACACATTTCTGTCCTTACAATCCAGTAATGATTCAAACTTGATATGATAAAAATGTAGAGTTGAATACATATTTCGTGTAACTAATGGATAGCTATGATCCTCTGTTCAATGTACGGGATGTCTTCAAAAATAGATCAAAATCAGTCAAGAAGATCTAAGAGCTAGAGTAGATCTAGAAGAATAATGTTTATCTATAAGAAGATACTATTGATCAGGCTCTTATCTAGCTCTGGGATTAAACAAGACAAATGATACATTGATATAAGAGAGATGTATTATTACCGCTGATTGCAGGATGTTCTCAATACGAAGGATAGAGTTAGAGACACATTATATATCCTATCTGACTATATTGCTTCCGTTTCCATCAATGCACTCACATAAAGCAAGTATATGTAAAGAGACAGAAATACTAAGATAAGACATTTCTTAAAGATATTGGGATTCATGTAACTGAAGATTTAACTGTAATAGTAGATGGTACCAATTTTTACCCAGAATCCCTAAAGGCAATTATCAATTATTAGACTGGATGCCAGATGAAAAAATCTAAATTTTTAAAAATGTTCAAAATTAAATCAAAATGCAAATATAATATAAAAAATAACATTTCATACGGCAGCATTCGCTTCAATTGCAATCGAAATTCAAGTCAAGTTCAGCCGGAATGTCGTAAAAAGCCGATATGATTTGATGAAGAGACATTTGCTCTAGGATGTAAGCTGCTAGCCTGCTATTATGCTGATGAAAATATCATTTTACATTGGTCAATTATACTGGAAATGAATCTTATTGTCAGGCTCGTAATTGGGTAACATTATATCCTGGCTATAGATTGCCCATGGATTTTTTATCATTTATACAAGGTTCCATCAATCCTCGTTCCCACACTGTGGCTCAATTCACATACCTTGGTTAAGGATTGACATATATGAAGGCAAATATGAATATCTTATCTCTAGCTCTGAAAAAGAAAATAATATTTTTGGGTTCCATCAATGAAAACATTGCCTCGTTTCTACTTTGTGTATCAATCCATATGCCTTGGGTAAGGATTATATTAGGCACCATGTATGAAGGCAAATGTAGATCTCTAGCTCTGAAAAAGTAAATAATATTTTTGATGATCTTCAAGAATTTTGTTTAACAGAAATACAGAGTAGAGTATATCATTCTGATTCAACCCAACTTCATTGCAATATCACAAGGGGAAAGAGTACCCGTATATATACAAACTACCGCCGAGCAAAGACCCGAAGATGTCTGAAAATGTAGGGGGTGAGTTATAAACTTTTGTTTATATCTTGAATTTCTCAATATGAGAAACAGATAAAACACAGAATTGTGTGTAACTGATAAAGTTATTGTTCCAGGCACTCATGTTTGCAAAATAATGAGTACTTAGCGCAATGTTTACTATCCAATCGCTAAATTCAACTTTTAAATATTTGAATGATGATTTACATCTTGAATAAGTAACAACCATGGCTGTCTTTACTTCATTCGATTCAAAGATACAATAGGTGTAAATGTATCATATTTATTTCACTGCCATACGTTGCATATCATTGAAATCACCGGTGAAAGTTGAAAATGAAAGACCCGATTATGTCACGAGTACGATTATATAGGACCCGAAGCTACCACCGAGCTATTCCGACTATACCGTGAGTAGAACCCAATGAGGTAGTGAGCAAGCTTTCGAATGAGCATATAATATCATGACGATTCCTTTTTATTTATCATATACTCCTGGCACCGGGATATAATATAATATGATATAATTCCCGCAGCACTATACGTCAACGTCTGTTTCCGGCAAAGTTCTTTAAAACATTGAATTCATGCTTACACTTGAATCACCATAATTTCCTATGTTAATTTCCTATGGTAAGAGTGCAACCCAAAAACATTTAATTCTGCATTGCAAGCGCCATTCTACTCAAAGAACGCAACTTGAAGAATCCCAAGCTTCACAAGCTTCATATCCTCGAAACGAAAATTACCGTGATCTTTCTTTGATAATACAATACCATAGTCAAAAACATTGTAAATCCATTTTTTGCCATTTAACTCAGGCACATTAACTTTATTACTCAGTAATGGATGGTGTAGTCATATAAATCCGACCGTTGTATGCTGTTCTTCGATATTCCTTGTTCTTATTTGGATATTTATTTTTTATCATTTTCTTTGCATACACGGTCGTAGATATTATATGGAACAAATTGTGGTAAACGCTTTTCTGGCCTGTCTTGGTAACCATAGTTACCATACTAACCAAAGTCACACAAATTATCACGTAATTATTTAGCTCCAAAATCAAAGTGTTAAATCTTACCTTAGACATGTAAAACGCTTGATAATTGACGAAATATAATCAATTGGATTATATTTTCATTATCGCCCGCCATGTTGCTGAATGTTGTTTCCGGTAGTCTAAATGTATAACATGTATCGAAACGGAATCATAATTATTTATTACACAGAGATCGATTCCAAAGCCAATCTCTGCTACTTATTACTTTTCTCATTTTGAAACAATAACCTTTCCAAATAACTTCCCTCCTTAACGACAATGCTTCCCTTTCAACTGAATCTTCGTGTAACAAATACTTGATTTCGTTTAATATAGTTTTACATCTAGACTATCAGATTAACCCGGAAGTGACCTTGGTAGGCAAAATGAGAAAATTTTAAAATTTAGCAGCGTGCTTGTATTTCTTCAATTACCAAGCGTTTTACGTGCCTAACCCCACTATCACACCAAACTAGTTCTCACTACGTTCTCGAAAACGGGCTTCAACTGTGTACGAACGGAATGGACCTACTAAGAACCGTTTGGGATCTATTTACAAACTTCATCGAACGTACTCGAACGGATAGGTCCTTTAGAACTTAGACAATGCTCAAAATGTTCTCGTGGTCGTCACGTTCTACAATTAGAACGAGTGACAACGTACTAACGACGAGCTGGACGTACTACGAACGGAACCGTCGCACTTCAATCCTACTAGGGACGTTTTAACAACGAGTTGAACTGTCTGAGGACGTGTTGAGAACGAGATAGAACTAATTGCAAACGGGTTTAAACTGATTAAGAACGTATTAAACACTGCTTGTGAACGAGTTAGCAAAAATATAGCTATCACACCAAACAAGTTGCCAATGCGTTCTTCAAAACTGGTTTTAAACTGTGTGCGAACGGAATGAACGTAGCTGCAACTTTCTAAGGTCTATTTACGAACTTTATGAACGTTCTCAGACGGGAATGTGATTTTAGAATTTTGAATCGATTCAAAATTCGATGGCGACCATACCGTCCTGTAATCAGGTCATGTTGACCTTCTAGACTGAGGGACGCGTTCTACGACGTTGCACACCGACGTGGTGCGACCTGAATGAACTGCGAACGAGATGGACGTATTGAAGACTGTTTAAGAACGTAGAAGCTAATTATTTCAGACATATTTCCCGACCACAGCCAGATTGAGCCCGTTTTACGACGTTTTCGTAACGGGTAAGAACTAGTTTGGTGTGATAGGGGGGTTAGGTAAGATTAAATACTTTATAGTTGAAGCAAAGAAATTAATTTATCATTTGTGTGAATTTGGTTGGGTAGACATGCCAGGAAAGCAATTCCCGCAATATATAAGCGCTAGTGTGTATGACCCTCGTATGCAAGAAAATAAGAAAAAATAAATCTCCAAATCAGAAAAAATAACAACAAATAACATCATACGAGGGTCAGATTTATATGACTATGGATGGTGCTGACTGAAGTGGACCACAAAATCATCCATCTCGTGTGATTTATAACTACAGTGGAAGCATTTGTACCGAGGACCTGAAATACAATGTTTCGATGTGCAGTGGTAACTGGTGATAGCCATATTTTTTTCAGTTTCATTTATTGTTCACAACAAAATGATTCACATGAATGATGCAGATTGTATGTTTATTATTTTTTCATCAGCACGTCATAAACTCGACGATATAATCGGATCTCAACAGATTTTACTCAAGTAATGTTCGAATTCTGAGATCCTTTACTCAAGATATTTTCGGATCTTTATAATATTACTCGTCGATCACATCGGGTCCGATGTCCGATAACCTCGGATCTTTTAGGACAAAGTTTAAGTGAAGATTTTGCTGTTCAAAAGTGCTATTTTGACCTAATATTTTGACACTTAATATATTATGCATATGCACATCCATTTACCGACCCAAGTATGTCTTATGTATGGCTCATTATCAATTAAAGCGAGTATGAATGAGAAAAACAAATCGAAAACTATTGTACGTTTACCTTATCTCTTAATTTGGACATAAAAATATATTTCAACTATAATTCTAGGCCAATTGCGCCTGCTAGAACATCTTAGTAACAACTCTAACCATCCAAAGGAATTGTTAGTGACATTATATTACCTTTATTGTCCATTTTCCTATGAGATGACATTATCAAACATTTGCTCGGCGGTATGTGCGTGTCTTGCTCGGCGGTAGGTTGTATATACACGGGTACTCTTTCCCCTCGTGAATATTCAAACAAAAAAACAATAAAATGAACATGATCACCTTGTTCTTTTGTCAACTTATCTGACATTTAACTTATCAAGGCTTTAAAGGTATAAGAAGAGTGACCATAGCGAGATCACGACACTCAAATCCCAAACCTCTTAACATCAAAGGCTGCT